GGAAGAGGCGTTTGTACTTGCCTGTTGTTTGATCCACATGATGGCGTTGAAACCGTCGTCATATGCCGTCGGAAGACGGTTTTCGGGGGCTAAACGGTAATTAACCGACACGACGACGCAGCCGGTAGTGGTGGCGAGGTTGGCGAGGAACTCATGGTAGCAGCTCCATGCGGCGGAGCCAACGCAGAAGCCGCCGCCGTGGAAGTAGACGAGCAAAGGTAACGAGTGATCGTTTGGATAGTAGTAATTAGGGACGTAAATGCGTGCCCATAAGTTGGTGAGTTTGTCTATGAAAACGTCTTTTGACATCACTAGGTTTTTGTCTATTGACCAAGTGGAAGGGACATTAGGGATGATTGCGGGCCTCTCTACGTGCCCGTCTTTCGAAACCCGAATTAGGCCCTCAATCTCCTCGACGGTGGCGGCACTACCATGCTGGTGGTGGTTCTTGTTTGGTGCTGCAGGGATGTGGTTTAACTGTGTATCCATGGATATGGTGGCCATATTTCTTCTAAATCTCTTACAGTACTAGTATATGCTTTTTTTTTTAAATAAAAAATAAAAAACTTTTGTGGAGTGTAGTGGAAATTGTGTTTCTGTGATGGGGATGTGATTGTATTTGGAACTTGGAATTGCTCTTTATATAGAGAATGGAAGAGGAATATTAGACGGAATAGAAGGCCCATTTTTAGTGTGGAAAGAAAGGGGTTTTGCTCCTTTTTCTATATGTAGTGGGCTATTCAACTCATCACTGTATCGATCGTCACGTTTGGATTCTCATGATCATCTGAGATCTTCAATCTGATTTGTCCACCATCTCATGACAGTAAATTTTATTCCTTTTGGTTAATGAAACAAGTTGAATCCATTATCATCATGGCTGTTCACTATTTTTATAAGTACAAACATGCATATGCTTAGCAATTAAACTTACCATGTGAGAAACCACCATTCACACAACTTGCAGAGCAAACTGATAGACAATAAATTAGTAAAATTATATTATGCCATTACTTCATCTTATTATGCTTAAATCCTTTACTGAACTTATTATTAAGAGAAATTATAATCCTCCTGCTATTTATCTTGTAGTGCACTGCAGAAGAAGAAATTAATTTAATTCATTATCCATGTTGAAATTTTTCTGAGTGTCATTAAATTGGTATGGGACAAAGCCATTCATAGCTCGCAACTTGAATATCATATATATAGTTGTCAAGTTGTTTTGACTATGCTTGTCATGTGGAGACTACCTCATACTCACCAAGTAGACATGTATATGCAGTAATATGCTAGCTACTCCTAACAAAAAAAGTCAACTCATTATTAGGCACCTAATCATCTAATTTCTAGCAATGTTACGGAGCGCACCGGTGGTATTGAACACCATTTACTAATAGAATGTGAGTCTCTCATACGTATTGAGCCTATAAGCAGGGCCTACGATCTATTGGTAGTTGTACTTAGCGCCAATAGTGTTTCTAATCATTTTTCTCTAATTTATGTATTATGCAAAGTAGATCCTATTGACATGCAACTAATTCTAATTTCTATATTATGTGAAGTTGCATTCAGATACTACATCACCTAGTAGATTATAACCGATTGAGACATGGATATCCCTTAAATTCCAAGTACATGCAAATGGCCATTCAACTTTATTCTACATACATTATCCCACTTTCTTCTATATCTTTTTCTTTTCTACACTTTATGTTTAACTTATTCCATCCTCTCTGTCAATCCTATAACGATCTATCTAAGGCCGAAAAGTGAATCCTGTGTATACTCCGTGCAAGCAATCACCAAATGGGAAGATTGACAGAAATTTCTCACCAAATGTCACTCCTCCAGAGAAGGAATTTGTTCCTGAGTTCTATCCACCATCGTCACAATATTTCTTTTCATTTCAAGATTGATATAGATCTTTCAAGCTATATGAAACGATATAAGGAATCAAAAACCATATTTTTGAAGCTGTTAATACTTGGGGCTGGATTTTGTTCTTTTGTACTTGCATAAGAATCTTTACCTTCCGTCCATGATCTTTATATCTGCCAAGTATTCTTCTCCCTTAACATATTCAGTATTATTAAATTGACGTAGAATTCTTTGTTTTTTAATTTATGGAACGTTTGGTTTATGGATTCAGAATCGTGATTTATAATCATTTTCATTTTACGTGTATTTTTTGTGAGAGAAAATACTGTAACAAACTACGAACTATGATTCAAATCATGACACGAATCTCCTTTTCAAACGTCTTATTAGTTTCATACACCCTTTTTAGTAAGCTAATTAATTAACCGTCAGTTTGACTAATGCAGTTTCGTTCTTCTTTCAAGTATGAAATGAAATGATACAATGAATATATAGCTCGTAATTGTCAAAAGTTTTTTGTTTTTTAAATGCCATATATACTTGTATTCTATGTGTTTTGATACGAAATAGTGCATGATTCAATGCAAGTTTATACAGCAGGAAATTCGAACAACGTGTTTGCTAAGGAAGCTATTGGGAATAACACGTGAAAACAAAGTTTAACAATTAAAGTCTCGTTTATTTCACTGATTCGAGTTTTGTTACAGTAAAAAACTTCAATTTTTGCTACAGTGAAAAGCTCTCAGAAACAGTCACATCTAACTTTTTGTTATAATAAAAAATTCTCGTATAAAGTCACATCTCAACTCAAATTAAAAACTTAAATCAGCGAACTAAATGGACACTTAGTCTAGAGAATATATATAACACTGTGTACAATATCTTCTCGAAACAGAGACACTTGAAAACACGAAAGCCTCATAGAAGTTTTTGAGAAAGTTAAGTCAGAATGGTTTTTTTCTCCTCTTCTGTTCTCTTCTATTCTATTGCATGAGTCAAAAGTGTTACTACTCTTCTTTTTTAGCTTTTGACTGAAAAGAATATCAGAAATTTCCAAAGTGGCCTTTTAACGAATTAACGACCAAACCACCGCAGATCACAATTCTGTTGGCAGCCTAATCCAACTATATATATTGCCCATTACGCCATTCCATATATATCAAAAAAATGTCAACGTAGGATAATTATAATTCAAAATATTGACCCTTGGCAGGTCTAAAAGAAAGGGCTTGCAAAGTGCACGAGAAAAAAAAAATTCCATGCCCTTAAAGGATATATAACACAAATATCCAATTGGTCCCTGTTCAGTAGATTTTATAGCAAAATATATAAAACTGATATTTACTTAGCCAGAAAAAAACTTTTATGATCCACGGAATTCAGTGACCAAAAACACCTCAAATAAAATCCAATGACAAAGATATATATATCTTGTGGGGAGCCACTGAATGATGCGTCACGATCTCCTTGTACATACACGACAACTTTCAATGACGATAAAAGTTTAGATTCTTTTTCATCCTCAAATCCCACCAAGAAAAAAATCAAAATAAAAATTACAAGCCATTTTCAAGCGCTCCATGGATATGCAAATGGGGTTTCCTTCTTTATTCTTTAAAAATATTCCCTTCTCTTTATTGTTTCTCATCCTTTTTGACCAAATCCACCCACACGGGTGCATTGTGGCTGGGGGGCCTGCAGATGGGGGGGTGGCGGATACTGATAAAAACTTGTGTAGATCTTGTTTTGAGATGAAATGGTTTCCAAATTGCATTTTTCTTTATATGAAATGGTTTCCAAATTGCATTTTTCTTCTCTACGTGTGTCGCGTTGTGCATGCCCTTCTAGCAATAACTAAAGTGTACCAAAAATCATCAAACGTGGTGACTTAGCGGTGTAGAGTACGGTGATGGGTTTGTAAATTTGTAATCACATTCGAGTGTTACTGGAGTTCTTCCTTTTGAGAATTGAGAGTATTTCCGTTCAGTTCGCGGATTCGAGTTTTTAATTTAAGTTGAGATGTGATTTTATATGAGAGTTTTTTACTGTGGTAGAAAAAGTTATATGTGACTTTTTGTGAGAACTTTTAACTGTAACAAAACTGAAATTGAAAACTCAATTTGATAAAATGAACAAGACCATATATATATGCTTGTGATACCTAGTACTCAATTTAGAGTACCTTAAATTATGCCCTACATACGCTTAACAATTATACAATTGATAGGGCTAGCCGGCTAGGCACTCCTCGTCCCAGGAGTAGGGCACACCAATGACGAAGTAGAACTTTTTCTTAGGCCTAATTTTGAAGTTACTACAAATTGTTTGCGACAAGATTTCCTAGCTTAAAAAATATTGCATAATAACCACATTATCATGGTTATTGAAGATAATTTTCTGGATGTACACGAGCAAAATATCATGAATCAATTGATACTTAGATTGCGTAGTCAATTCTTTAAAGTATTCAAGCACAAAATACCTTCTCTATCGTAGTAACATCAACACCTAGAGTTAATATCAATGTTAGAAGTAGATAAATTAATAGATGTGTATTGCTTATTCTTAGTTAATTATAAAATAAATTTAAAGTTAAAATTAGTATTTTTTTTTTAAAAAAGTAGTATTCTTAAATGTATTTCTTTAGATAGTAGTATTTTTAAAATTTTTGAACGTTTTAAGATTATATTTTTTATTTTTTTTAGAGGGGTCATATCTAATTTGTTATAACACAACTATAGATATACATAGCATAAAAAATAAAAGAAAAAAAGTTGAGGGGGGCTTGGGCCCACTTATAAAACCTTCAACAAATATTTCTATGGGCACTTTATAAGAACACCACAAGTTTGTTTAGATTGGCATATGTCAAGAGACATAAAATATTACAGAGAATGTCAAAGTTAAAAATACTTAAAAATTATAAAATCTATAAAAGTCATAAATATATATATGAAAAATCACAAAACTCTCATAAAATCCAAATATGTTGAATTAAATACATAAAAGTACAATCATAATTTTACTTAATATATAAAACTTAAATGATAATATTGCTGTATATTTTGTAATAGTTACTCATAACATCCAAACTTAAAAACTATGATATATTGCCAAATATCTCCATTTCTATAGTGTCTCGTGGGGCCTTTGATAATGGTCATGTGTATCTAATGCTAATAATCCCCTCTTGCTAGTACAGAAGGTGCTGTTGGTAGACGCCAATACCATAAAGCCAATGGTAATAATGGAAAAACAACATTTGTCATATTAAAAATGATTTTTTTTTATGATGGTTATTTTTATCTAGCATAAATTCATATGTCAAATAAAAAATTTACAAATTACAATGCAAAACTATACACAAGCTTATTTTCTAACTTGTTAGAAACTCAATGACCATTATCACTGTGATACAATAGGGAGCATCTAATTTAGTAATCACGAGTTTAAACTAATAGAGATGCCTTGAAGACCCTATGTGAAGTGAGGTTATTGTTAATGTTATTACAAATTAGACGTCTATCATGGAGAGCAAAAATAAATAACAATATACGCGATCTTCACTCTTTATGTTTGAACTACGTGCATTTTTATCTGCTACATTAAGTCACACTGTAATGAAGAAAATTACAAGAGAAGCCTACATTTCAGAAGTTCTTTTAACTTTAAAGATCAGTCTATGTGTGTGTCCGGGGTGCATAGTAATCAATAACCCGTTTAGTTCACTGATTCGAGTTTTTAATTCGAATTGAGATGTGACTTTATGTAAGAGCTTTTTATTGTAGTAAAAAATTTAGATGTGACTGTTTCTGAAAGCTTTTTACTGTAACAAAACTCGAATTCCGTTCAGTTCGCTAATTCGAGTTGAGATGTGATGTTGTGTGAGAACTTTTTACTATAATAAAAAAGTTAGATGTGACTGTTTCTGAGAGTTTTTTACTGTAGCAAAACTCGAATCAGTAAAAAGAACAGGATGAATGGGCCCAAAACTTCACAACTAAACAAAAGTTGCCATGTTATGCTATATCACCAAGACATGTAAGACCTTATTATTTTTGTAGTTATAAATTTAAATTGAGTTGAGAATGAATTTATGTGGGAGAAAAAACTTTAATAAAATATTAAATTTAAAATTTTATGAAAAATAATATGATAATAAAAATTTGAGTCAGTAAAACATTAAATTTAAAATTTTATGAAAAATAATACAGTAATAAAAATTTGAATTATAATACGTTTGGTTCATAAATTTAGAGTTACTCTCAATTTATATGTATTTTTATGAGAAAAAATATTATAATAAATCTTAAATTATAATTCGAACCATAGCACGAATCTTTACTCCAACGCAACATGTGATTCCAACAACGAAGCCTAATAAAAATTTGGAAAATAGTAGAAAATATGCCAATATGAAAAGTTTAAGAAAGTATATAGGCCAATTTTTAGTTATAGAAATTAATAGGCCATAACTTGTCAAGTTATGGTTCATGACCAGATAAGTTATGGACAAACTTGTCAAGTTATGGTTCATAGTCAGACAAGTTATGGACAATTATGGACAATAAATTATCAAGTTATGGTTCATAACAAGACAAGTTATGGATGAAAACAGTAATTTGGTCTATTTATTAACTTATGTAAACTATTGACCTATTAATTTTAATTCATCTTAAGTCTTGGCATATTTCTCTCTTTCTCCCTAAAAATTTACGGAAGAAAACGACAAAAGAAGTCTAAAAGGCCATTCTTCCGCGCAATTGCAACTGGGCTTGAGCTCCCGAAGACAACAATCCCAGCCCACATCTCAAACGGTCCGAGAAAACCGAAACGGTGCGTTTAAGAGAAGTTTGAAGTTCGAATTCGACGGAACGCAAAGATGGAGGGTTTGTTAATCAAAAAGCAGGCACAAACAAAACCTAGTTCGAGAAAGACCTAAAACTTCTCTGAAGCGAGAGAGAGAGAGTTTTCACTTCTCTCTGAGTCTTCTTCAGTGTCGTTTGCAGTTAGGGCAATTGGAAAAACGAAAGGCGAAGGAAGATGTCGTTGCGGGTGCTGAACCCAAATGCAGAGGTTCTCAACAAATCGGCGGCTTTGCACATGAACATCAACGCCGCCAAGGGCTTAATGGACGTTCTCAAGAGCAATCTCGGTCCCAAGGGCACAATCAAGATGTAAAAATGACTGACTGATTCTTTTGTTTTTGTTCTTTTTTTTTTCGTTTTCGTTTTCGTTTTTTATTTCTTCTGGTTTTTCTCGTTTCCGCATCTGATTTCATGTGTTTTTTCGTTTTCCAGGCTTGTTGGAGGAGCCGGAGATATCAAGCTCACCAAAGATGGTAACACTCTTCTCAAAGAAATGGTAAAGTTCTTCGCTTTTCTCTCTCGCTCTTTAAACCCTAGATCTTTAGATTCGATTACGCAATGGGACGTGGTGAAGTAATGTGAGGCTGAACAAGTTTTATTTTATTTTATGGGACTTAGGTTTTCTTATAATCACGGTGTTGTCTGTCATTCCCACTCAAATCTCAATAGGATGAACAAGATTTTATTTATTTATGTATTTATTTTTTTGAGAAATGTGACTATTTGGAAGCTGGATTTTGTGGGTTCATTCGAATTTGGAATAAGGTTTATGTTTTGTTATTGTTATTTTTATTTTGGGTTTTCTCAAAATGAGCATTTTGGTTTCATGTGTTTGTTATATATGCCTTTCTCGTGTTTCATTTGCTAGGCTACAAGTGTGTTTTTTAAGAAAATAAAAATTAGTGTAGTTGTTTGTGATCTTTTATCAAATGGTTGCAGCAAATTCAAAACCCAACAGCAATAATGATTGCAAGGACGGCTGTTGCTCAAGATGATATAAGTGGAGATGGCACTACTTCAACTGTGATCTTCATTGGCGAGCTTATGAAACAGTCGGAGCGATACATTGATGAAGGTGAGTGAAATCATTGACCCGAAACATTATGGATCATGTCATTTGCAATTTAATCTCGAACTATATATAGTAAGGGGAATATGGAATGTTGCAGCTTTGCGTCTTTTTTGAATTTTAGCTTGGGAAAGCGATAATGATTACGATATGATGTTCTTTTTTGTTGTTTATTAATTCTTCCATGAATGTGGTGGTTTGAGGTATGCTGATTGATTCTTCTAACAGGGATGCATCCGCGTGTCCTGGTTGATGGTCTTGAGATTGCCAAAAGAGCAACTCTCCAGTTCCTTGAGAAATTTAAGACTCCCGTGGTGATGGGTGATGAACCAGATAAAGAGATTCTGAAAATGGTTGCAAGAACAACCCTAAGAACAAAGGTAGAATGGTAGTTTTTGTTTAGGACATAATTTCAAATATCTTAGATAAATATCAATGAATCTCTCCATCTTCTATTTGCAAGCGTCTCTTGCATCTGATTTTGACATTTTGTTCTTTTTGAACAGCTTTATGAAAAATTGGCAGATCAGTTGACTGACATAGTTGTTAGTGCGGTAAGTGCTTTATAGCAATTGACATTACTTATAACTGATTATAATCTTTGTAGTTACTTGTGTATGCAATTTACAAGTTGCGGTGGACTTTTTGTTACTTGAGGAGTGACAACTCGTGATTTGAAATGACAGCTTCTTTGCATTTGCAAGCCTGAGGAACCAATTGATTTGTTTATGGTAGAGATTATGCATATGCGCCATAAATTTGATGTCGACACACGCTTGGTATGTGAATACTTATTTTGTTCTGTTTTCCATAACTGCTTCTTTTCCTCAAACAATTCAAATGCAACATATCGGAATTGTTCTTTATGGCTTAGCAAGACTGACGTTTTCTTGGTAAATATAATTGAATGCAATTTTGTATATGATATGGTATTGTTTGTACTTTCTTGTATTGTGAAATTTCTTAGTTCACTTGTCTTGTTTTTTAGGTTGAGGGTCTTGTCCTTGACCATGGTTCTAGGCATCCTGATATGAAGCGACGAGCAGAGAATTGCTATATAATGACGTTGAATGTATCGTTGGAGTATGAGAAAAGGTAGATACTAGAATGTAGGACTATATTTGTTTCTTAGATTGGACTTTGTATTCTTAAATGGTTATTATAGCATGAATGTTTTGGCAAATATTATTATTATTACTATTATTATTATTATTTTGCTGAACACAAAAGGGGCAATTTTCGGTTTTTGAGCGTTATTGAAGAAGTTAATGGTTTTTCCTCAGTGAAATAAATGCGGGCTTTTTCTACTCCAATGCTGAGCAGAGAGAGGCGATGGTTACAGCTGAGAGGCGTTCAGTTGATGAAAGAGTTAGAAAAATAATTGAATTGAAAAATAAGGTGGAATTCTCCTTTGGTTTATTATCCCCACTGTATGCTTGATATATGTAAATGTGGAATTAACGCTTATTTTATCTTTTGCTTTATGTTTGTCATTTACAGGTTTGTTCTGGTAATGGCAATAACTTTGTTGTCATTAATCAAAAGGGAATTGATGCACCGTCATTGGACGTTCTTGCAAGGGCAGGGGTAAGTCATGGAGCTCTAATTTTTCTAAATTTATATCATGTTGCTGAGAAATTACATATTCTTTTCTTTCCTTTTCCATGTCAATGCATGTCTTAGGGTTAAAATTGCATCTATCATCGTTTCTAAAATGCATTTTGTTAGTATATTTCTATTCTCAATTAGTGACTTCTAAAGAGAATACAAAAATCCATTTATAATATAGTTGAGAATTATTTTTTAAATCATAGCAACATCTTTCGAGCCCTGGTTTGTAATTTCCTAATGAGGTGAATTTTTAGATTATCGCCCTCCGAAGAGCAAAGAGGAGAAATATGGAACGGTTGGTTTTGGCTTGTGGGGGAGAAGCTCTAAACTCTGTGGATGATCTTACTCCTGATTGTCTTGGTTGGGCCGGACTGGTCTATGAGCATGTCCTTGGCGAAGAGAAATATACATTCGTGGAAAATGTGAAGAACCCTCATTCTTGTACAATTTTAATCAAAGGTACTGTTTTCATAGCCTCACTGCCAGAGTGGGCATTCATTTCATTTTTTTTAATCATTCGCCAAACTGTGGCTTGGCATATTTCGAAGTGACGATCATGATACTGCCAGCATTTTTATAGTCATTTGTAAGTTCCATAGTCACTAATGCCAAATTAATGGTGCAGGGCCTAATGACCATACGATTGCCCAAATTAAGGATGCTGTCCGTGATGGATTGAGGGCTGTTAAAAATACAATTGAAGATGAATCTGTGATCTTGGTACGTTTTCTTGAGCAGAAATTTCTTTAATGCGTACATGTTGGTATATGTAAATTACGTCATCATGTTGCCCAAGACCGTTTGGTCTAGTGGCACCAGGAATTTGGTTGGAGGCTGAATGTTCGATCATGTCTTGTATAAAATATAATAATAAAAAAATTGCGTCACTTGGCTTTTAAAGTTTCTTAGGAGACGTTTGGTTCATGGATTAGAATCATGTAATTAGAACCATTTTCGATTTACGTATATTTTTTGTGAGAAAAAACACTGTAGCGAATCATGCCATAATTCAAATCATGGTTTGAATCCTCCAACCAAACGTCCCCTTAGTGTTACCTGCTAAAGAGCCTGTTTTACTTTTTCCGTATAATGGCTTTGGTATTGCTGTAGATTTTGAAAAAATTACTTTTAGCTGTGCTGAAAGAAAAAACAGCTGTTACAAAATGCAGTTGAATGTTTGGTAAACTATAATTATAGTAGTTGTGCTGATTTCAAAATCAGTGTAATAACGTTTAGTAAATTATGAGGTTGAATTACTGTTGATAGTTAAAAATTACGATTATATTATATTATACTATAATATAATATATATAATTACAATATAATATATATTTATTATCATATTTAATATAATACAAAAAACTATTATTATATAATTATGATATAGAATATAATAATATTATTAAAATAATAACTGAAATAATTAAAAATAATGATTATATTATATTATAATTACAATATAATGCATATTTATTATTATATTAAATATAATACAATAAAACTATTATTAAATAACATATTATATAACTATGATATAGAATATAATAATATTATTAAAATGGTTAATATAATTATAATATTATAATATTTCAGTTATATTGTGTTGCTTCTAAAATCAATGTAATAACGTTTAATAAATTATGAGAGAATTGCTAGGAATAGTTAAAAATTATGATTATATTATATTATACTATTAATATCATATTTTTATTAATATAATAAATATAATTATATCAATACAATATAATATATAATATTATTATAAAATAATAATTATAATATCATATTATATGATATTATTTGTTACAATATTACTATTATATTATATTATTGTATTATTATATTATATTATATTACGAATCTGAAATTTAGATTGAAAAGATTGTAAATTTTAAATTTTATTAGATGTATTATGAGTATTATGAAAGTTTCATTAATTGTACTAGGTTGATTCCCGGACAATCTAAAAGCTAAAGTTGCATTTGAGCTTCTTTCTACTTTTGGCAGTAGATTCTTCAAAAAGCACTTTTGAGTAGATTTAGCAAACACTAAAATCAGTTTTTGTTACAAGCAGAAGTTGATTTTGGGAGTGAAAAGCAATACCAAATTAAGCCAATGATTCTTACTTTGAACATAGAAGTCTGATAGGTTGTGGATTTAATAAATGAATGTATGGTTGAATATTAGTTTTGAGGTCGTTTCATCAAATCAAATAAGATCTGATAAAGACATCCTTCACTTTATATTTGAGGTATGTTTCCATTCATCTCAATAAATTCATTTGTGTTTCAGGGGGCTGGAGCTTTTGAAGTTGCAGCTAGACAATATCTAGTAAATGAAGTGAAAAAAACTGTTCAAGGGGTAACTAAATTACTCTTCATTTTCCTGCTTAAAGATATATTAACTGCATCTATTATACATTTCTTGTTTTGAAATTTGGAACAGAGAGCACAACTTGGAGTCGAAGCTTTTGCTGATGCCCTCCTTGTGATACCCAAGACGCTTGCCGAGAACTCCGGTCTTGACACACAAGATGTTATCATTGCTCTTACGGTAGGTGTTTGAGATTAGTAACCTCGCTATTATCTTTTCTGAATAATTAACGAAAAAAAAAGTAGAGATCATCACGACTGAACTTTGCGATATCATGTGGGATGTTCATTCAGGGAGAGCATGATAGGGGGAACATTGTGGGTTTGAACCAGAACACAGGAGAACCGATTGACCCTCAGATGGAGGGTATTTTTGACAACTACTCAGTGAAGCGCCAAATTATAAATTCTGGGTACATTCGAACTCGATGCTTAAACAATTATGCTCTTCTTTTTCTTTCTTTCAAAAAAATGTTCTGGCAGTGATGATGGAGCCGTCATTTTTCATGCCATTCATGATACCTTTGATTTTATTTCATGCATAACGTGTAGTTTTCACTGATTGATCCTATAATATAGTCCCTAATTTTCACTGAATAGTAAGTCATTTGATGTAGTTTTCACTGATTGATCCTATAATATAGTCCCTAATTTTCACTGAATAGTAAGTCATTTGATGTGAGCAACTCTGTTTGCAGGCCTGTAATTGCATCTCAGTTGCTGTTGGTGGATGAAGTAATTCGCGCTGGGCGGAATATGAGAAAGCCAAATTAAGCTTTGGGACATCGGATGCCCGTGTGGAGATATTCTAGTTTTGTTTCTTAGTGTGCTATGAATTATGTCGAGCTACCTTGCTTCCTTGTAACAGAGGGCACTTTTTGTGTTGAGGACTTTTGTTAGAGAGAGAAGATTTTGCAAAGTTTGGTACTAATTTTTTCGTTAAGTTTCACATTTTGTTCGTGGTATCCTTAAATATGGTTTCCCTGGTGCTGTCCACAGTTCTCATTTACACTACAATTAAATTCATGAAAGGTTCTTTTTCGCTTTAGACTAGAAATAGTATTTTGTGTTGAAAGATGTTTCAAATATGGTACATGAACAAAAAAAAAAAAAAAACAAAGTAAAAACTAATGGATTTATTTATTAGATAAATGGATGAAAATTATTAAATGTAGGAAGTTGTATCAAATTTAATGCCTAAACTGAAAGATTGTTCCAAAATTAATTCTGTGAAATACATAGATTAGAATCAGTGTATAGAGTAGTTTTAAGATTCATTAAATTCGCTGATTTGAGTTTTTAATTTGAGTTGAGATGTGATTTTATGTGAGTTTTTTACTGTAGTAAAAGGTTTAATATGATTGTTTTTAAAAAATTTTTATTATAGTAAAATTTAAATCGATGAAATGAACGGAAAATTACTTGTTTTAAATGGTCTTTGTCAACAATTTTTTTTAAAACAATGGTGACCTTTACAAATAACTTGTTTAACAATCCTATTTTATTTTTTTATTTCTTGGTTTATTTTTGAATTAAGAAAATAAATCTATTGTTTGGAGTAGAGGCCCGGACAAGGCTTGAACTTAAGGTTGGAGACAAGACTGGAGATAGAGGTTGGGGTTGGAGGACGGTAGTGAGAATGTGACAGTGGAGAACAGGGTCATGGTTAGGGATGGGGCCGAGAACAAGATTGAGATTGACCCCAATCCCGTCCCATCCTCAACCTTGATCGCAACCCCACCCTCGATTGCAGCCTCGACTTGTGCCATAACTCAAACCTTGACTCCAGTCTTAATTATAGTACTGATCTTAATTTTAGAATCAAGAAATTTTTTATTCTGAAAAAGAAATTTATTTAAAGAAATTTAAAAAACAAGATGTTTTTCTCAGTTTCAAACATAAGGGAATTGAGAATAATTGAAACAAAAAACATAAACAAGAACAATATTATAGACGTATTTTCCACACACAAAAAAAAAAAGAAGCAAAAACGAGTTTACGAAGCATTTAGAGCTAAGCTACCAACTTTTGATGTTTTCCGTTTACCTAACTTTAACAGATGAACGAACTTTGATTTCAGCACTAATAACTTTTTTTGAAGGATGTTTTTTTATAAATGGCTAAAGTATTATAAAATTACAAAGACAACCGTTTTTATTAATTTATAAGTTAATCATTGATTGACTCAACGGTAAATACTTAGAAGTCAATTATGATTGAATATAGTTTATCACTGATTAACTAAATTATTCCTTAATATTAATTAATATTAGTTAATAATTAATCAAAATTAATGAGTAATTAATCAATTTCAATCAACAAATTACATATTTATTAATGATAAATTAAAAATAAATCGGTCAATTATTGACTATGGCCATAAACAAAACGACCATTTTGTAAAGCAAAAAAAGTTCAGTTATTTATAAAAAGATGCGGTTAAAAAAGACCACGCAACACAATTTCTCCCTTTTTATTATGAATTTTATACATGTCATGTTTAACGTTTTCTATTTATTTAACAAAAAAAACTTAACACATTTTTTGGTTTAAGGACTAAACTTATTACAACTTCAACACAAAAACCATTTTAAAGAGAATAAAACTCGAGAATCTTTCATGAATTTAACTCTTTACACTATTCAAGTTTTTTTTTTTGTCAGAACTAAAACAAAATTAAAATCACCATTATCATCAAATTGCATTCAAATTTGACAGTTTACACCTCATTTATGCCCAAAATAATAAGAAAGATGCAACTTAAGTATCTTTCGAGAGTCAGATTGCAAGTTCGCGTCTCAGATTCTTAAGGCCTAAAATCGGCACATGCCTAAAGAAAATGAGCTTTAGACTTAGGATCCCTTGGCATCTTGTTGAAGCGTGTACTCTCTCTTCATTTTTTCCAAGACAGCATCATTGGTGCTACAAAAATTGAGAAACAATTTGTCAGAAACTCTCGAGTTAATGGCAAAGAGGTTAGGCTCTAACTTACCATTTTCTAGTTTATCAAATTGACCTCAGCCGTAACAACAACCAACGTCCTAAAGAACTCAATCAGGATTGTATTTGTAAAAAAATACTTTGATTTGATGAGGAACAATTCAACGTAACATATAGTGACACCATAGACACCACTCTGCTGTTCTAATCATGTTTCCACCTCCTAAAAGACAAGAAGGTGAACAAGGTGTTGCAAACTTGTACTTCACTAATGATCTACTTAACTCGAGCATTTATTCTTTTCACAACTTAAGTTCTTTTACTACAATGTTTTCTCTTATAAAAATTTAAATTCAACTTTTTTGTTACAGTGTTTTCTCTCACGTAAAAAAGTTTGTGTTATGACTAGAGTGGTGAAAAGAACACACTGATCATGCAATCACTTGTTAAAGAGTTTACAATCATCAAAACGACACCAAGCACAGAACTCAATGGTAACTTGCCTTTTTCAAGAGTTCATGCAATGTTTAGGAATTAGGATATCTAATAGCTTACCAACCAGCCAACCCAAAGAGTTAAACTGTGATCTATAGGATAACCCACATACCCATTGTAAAATAAATATTTTGTACACTTCAACACTCACTAAGGCTATGTTTTGTAAGAGGGAGAGAAAACTAAGAATGGAAAGAAAGTTACATAAGTTTTAGGTAACGAAAATAGAGAGATGCGTTTGGTATAATTTCACTCCTTTTTAAAATTGTGATTGTTTCAAGGATTTGAAATATCTCCCCCAATTCCCTCCTCTTTTCTCTCTTATCAAGCAACTATAGGTCTCAAAATCCTTCCACCAATCCCCTTGCCACTCTCCCTCCTTCCACTTTTCCCTCGTATGATACCAGCTCTAATTCAGTGAGAACAACTCCAACTATGCTAGCCACTTTATGTTTTTAATCAAAATGGTTAATGATCTAACTTTTTTTTCTTTTCTTTTTTAATTTTTCTTCATTCCAACCATTAACTAAATTGTTAGCTATTATAGAGAATACTTCACACTAGCTAAATATAGCTAGCATAGAGACTAATCATTTCATTTTTTATATTCATTATTCTTTCAATGTAAAGATTTTTTTTAGATTCAATAAAATTATTTACATTTTAAATTTAACAAACATTAGAAAAACTTATATTTAGCTAGAAAGTATGGTTGGAAAGACTCACTAAAAAATTGATAATTAAAATAATTTTCTAACCATTTTAACCAGAATTTAGCTAAAATTAAGAGGTTCCTTTGAGATGCTCTAAAACAACATACCAAAATTTGGAGAACTTAAGCACACCCATTAACAAGTCTTCTATGCACAAACGACAAACCATAACAAGCTACTTATTCCTATTTGCAATCATTTCCGCAACACCAATTTGCAAATCTCTTATGGAATCTTCTAATAGAACCCCAACAAAAAAAAAAAAAGAAAAAATCTTTCACAACCAAATGAAAACAGAAGAATTCAGTTTCCCAATCTGCTAATACGAACTTACTGTTGGTGAAGGCAATTGTTCAACTCTTTTGCCTGTTGGCGACACTGCCAAACGACGGAGATCGTCCTCCCCGTCGCACATTCCGCGTATTTTAGAGCGTAATGGTCGCATTCCTTCAGTGCCTTCTGCTTCATTTTGCTCCGCAGAGCTATAAATTATGAAAGAAAATTGAGAACCAAAAAAAAAATCAAATAAAAAAAGAAGGATATAGGATTTCTGGGTTTTCTTCATACCTTCTTCTACTTTCTTCTTCACATGATTCTCGCGAGCTTCTTGTATGTACCCCATTGAAGAACAATAACTTTCAAGTCTCAAACTGATGAATAGTAGCTTTTGACTCCACAAACAAATCTATTGCAATTCGGAGTAAGAGGCGTTTCTGAGCTCCCAAGCGAGTCGTTCGGCCCTAATTGGGCCTGGGCTGTTTCGACATGGCCCAAGCTCACCGCTTAAGAGCTGAATTTTTTTTTTTTGGAAAATTCTACTTTTTAATTAGTTTTGATCTAAAAAATAAAAATATATGGGTTAATATTTAAGGAGATTTATTATTCAATGAGTAAAAATAAAAAAGGGCTCTATTTCTAAGAGTATTTTTAAAAATCTCCCTATTGAGTTTGTAATTCGTCTATTTCACCCATTTACTTTTGTGGCATGTTTACCTACGCGTAATCAGCATGGCGAATCGAAGTGGATAAGATTCAAAATGAGGAATCAGAGTCAGAATAAGTTATTTACTTAGTGACATAATTCAAAATCGAAGTCACTTCAAATCTCACTCATGCGTTTAATTACACCCAAAAACAAAATGAACTAATATAAAAGTACTAATATACTCTTTAAATCAATTATATATTTTAAATTTAATAAATAAATGGTGTATTTGTTATATTAAAATTAATCATTATTAAAATATTTAGTATAATAACAGGGTCATATAATAATAAATATAAATTGTATAATTATTTAAAATTAAAAATACATTGTCAAATTTTAAATAAAATATAAAAAAATATTGTTAAAAATAAAAATATATTATTAGTTTATTAAACACAATAAAGTACATATTTATTATATTAAAGTTAATAATAATTATGCTAATATTAGGTAAATAAAATAATAAATATAGGTTGTAATTATTATTTTTTGAATTTTATTTTGAATTTTATAGTTATAAGTAATATAAGGGTATGATCGTGATTTAATGTTAATATCAAGAATGTGAGTCCCAATTCTAAGGGGAGCATGAGAGTGCCAATCTTATTTCTCAATCCTAAATTTGAGTGGGGCCCACCAATCTCATTCTCATTTCAAGATATAAAAAAGTAAGTAAACATAAGATTGACTTTTGTTTCCTACTCTCATTCTTCGATCATGGTAAGTAAACATACCATTAGAGAATTTATATTTATAGGATTACTCTAATGCTTGTGCCGACCTCAGAAAGATTTGTATTTAACAAATATTATGTTATTTTTTACTTTTTTTTTTCTCTCATTAGCTTGTGATGACTTGAATATTCCAATGATAAAAGTTAAAACTAATGGCATGTTTGTTTCACAACTCAAGTTAAGAACTTAAGTTTTTTATGTGAGAGAAAACACTTTAACAAAAAAGTTAAATTTAAATTTTTAGGAGAAAAAATACCGTAAAACTTGAGTTGTGAAAAGAATAAGACTTAAATTCTCATTGGTTGTTGGAGTTCTCAAGTCATTTGATACCCGTCGCTGGATTCATTCAGTGATAATTGTACTCACTTTGATCTTGAGTCATCAAATTGGGGCCACTTTGGTGGTTGTGTTGAGTGTGTTGAGCCTACTATTACCATGATGTGGAGTCAGCACAATCACACTGACTATAATTTTTTGGCAAAGATATATCGCGTTTTTCACATTTGTAATTTTAATTGTCTGGTTTTGCTTATATTGGGAGGCACCGGTTTTGAGTATGGGTGTTCATAGACAAATACAAAGGCTGAAATATGTGACAAGTGCGATTCTCAAGTAATTTTCATTTTAATCATGGTAAAATTGTTAAAGTAGATATAGTTCTTACATTAATAGTAAACTACTATTAATTCTGTGTTTTTTTTCCTTATATTATTACTTTCGTTAATATAGAATTAGAACTAGGTCTACCACAGGTCACTCATTGTGCAACCAACATCGTTAATATAGAATTATAGGATTACTCTAATGTCAGCAAACGTGGCGAACTTGAAGTGATCATTTGAGGAGATCCCTCTCCTTGTTTACAATGCAATCTTGCTCCGTACAACTCAGGCAAGATCGAGACTTCCCAACAGAGAATTGTTGGGCGCGTTTAGAATTCGTTTCAAAATGATTTTATTTTGTGTGTAAAAATAGAAATGAAAATGTTTTCAATTTCAGACAGAAATTATTTTTAAAAATGCGTTTGGTAGTTTTATTGAGATATTATTTTTAGTATAAAAAAAAACTAAAACTCCGTTTAGTTATATATTTTTTAAACACATAATAGTATGACATTATCAGAGCTCATAACGCAAATATTAAGCTAGGGACATGCCTAGGAACATGGTAATCTAATGATCTTGATCTGATTTTCTAAGCACATGCTCAGTGAGTCGAATTTTGGGCCCATAATACTTGGATAAACAGACGCAAATTTTAATATTGTCTCCGGTTATTTCTGTTTCAGATATAGTAGAAAATAGACCAATAAAAAAAATTTAAGAAAGTATATATGTTAATTTTTAGTTATAAAAATTAATAAGTCATAGCTTATTAAGTTATGGTTTATAACCAGATAAATTATGGACAAACTTGTCAAGTTATAATTTATGGCCAAACAAGTTACGGACAAAAATTGTAAATTATGGACAATAACTTGTTAAGTTATGGTTTATAACCACACAAATTATAGACAAAAACAATAATTTAGCCTATTTATTAACTTATATAAATTATTAACTTATTAATTTTAATTCATCTCAAGTCTTAACTTATTTTCCTATTTCTCCTTTTCTGTTTACCAGAGTTGTTTGTCCATATACATTATTTTCATTTTTTTTTCTAAGACGAGAAAAAGTGAAAAAAATTCACAATGCATAAAACTACTCCTTGGACATGGTGGAGGTAATATTCACGTTTTTTTGTTTTTTTGTTTTTTTTTGTTTTCCCTGAGCAAAGTAAGGCGTAGTCATTATCAAGTCCATTTTAAGTGAATAAGCGAAATTTTCTTTACCCATTAATAAAATCACAAAAGCTATAAAACCCAATTCCTCTAGATCTCCTCTCCAGCAAACAAATGATTCAACCAGAAAAACTGGGAAACATACATAACATTGCAAAAAATAATAATAATAAATAAATAAAATAAAATAAAAAATAAAAAACTAAACCGAAATTGACGGAGAAAAAAAAAACACCAATATAGTCTCAAAAATCAATATGAAACACAGTTACTGTTTGTTATACCAACAGGTAAGTAAAGAAAACAAATTCCAGAGACACACGAGCTAAAACAGAAGAAACCCAGTTAAGGAAAACTGATTCTGACTGAAAATGATCAGAAAAAATAAATTTGGAAACCTTCCAGAGTTGATAAAGAAAAAAGAAAATGATAGTCTTCGATCAAGAAAAAACCTTCCACAGTTGGACGATCTGTTTCCAATCCCTAACCAAAAACGTGAAAACAAGAAATGATGAGAGCAGATGGGAGTCGAAGGAAAGAGGGAGGAGAAAATGAAAATAAAAAAATAAAAAAAAAGAAAAACGAGCGAAAGACGTTTTCAGAAACCTTCAGATTTTTTGAGAAATGAGCCAAGCGTTTTCAGTCTTGTTTTCTGCTATGTGTTGCTCCAAACGTTATTTTCAAACTACTTTTTATTTTTTGCTCCTAAAAAACGTGAAAAGCGATTTCAAAAAGGGTTTTTAAACACCCCTGCTGTCTCGTTAAACTGTTTAACTGCACATTTAACTTGTAACCTAGTTTTTCTTGAATCTTTTATCATGTCAATCATCATAAATAAAAGAGATTAATATAAAAAGTTATACATATATTAATTAGTGTCAATATTTTATCGGTAGTATTTTGATAACTAACCTATACAGAATAAAACTTATTTGTAACTGAGACAGGCATGCAATAAGCCGATATGGATTTTCTTTGGCCCTGTCGTAAACCGCGTAGGGCGTGAGGAAACTGTCATGTTCAGTGCACCGCTTGAGAGGACAATTTCCATTTCCAAAATATTTTAGGTTGATCCCAATAGTTCCTGAAATTACTTTTTACTCTTAAAATGTATGGAGTTGATTCTTGATATTTTATTTTATTTTAATTTCAGTTCTTTTATTAGTTAAGTGTTAAATACTCGACGGAATCTATAAAAATTAAATACTAAAACTAAAAATATCTAAAATTTAAGGACTAAAACAATACAAAAAATAAAAATTAATTTCCACAAATAGTCTTTAAATCTTAGCTGTTTTTAATTTGGTCTCAAATTTAGAGAGTTTTCGTTAAATATTTAACACTTAATTAATAGAAAGATTGAAACTAAATTAAAGTAAAACTTCAAAGACTAATTGTGTGACGTTTTAAAAATCAAAGACTAAAATAAGATTGAAAAGAATCCTCACAGACTATTTATAAGATTAACTCAAATATTTTCAACGTGAGACCCTCCTCCAATATTAGTTTTTTTTTTTTTTTTGAAACACTCCAATATTAGTTTTAGCAGAACTAGTAAATATATTGCATACAAATTGTCAACAAATATTTGTTTATTTATTTATTTTTTAAATTGAAAGCAAGTAAGCAACAACTTGAGTACAATTTATGCAGCAGTTGAAAAAGTACCCTCCTAAATCTCGTAATTAATTTATTTTTCCACGTAATATCTATCGAGCACAAGCTAGAATTTTCGCGCAAGAGTTGAACTCTTCTCTTACTAACGTTTACACACACTCACACACACACAGACACACACACATTACCTACGTGTGTGTTACTTTTTTTACTACAATATTTTTTCTCTCACACACAACTCAAATTATGACTTAGTTGTGAAATGAACACAAAATGAAGCAAGTTGTTTGCCTCTTATTATGAGGCAAGTTGGTATATTATGGTTTCATTTAGTTCGTTGATTCGAGTTTTTAATTTGAACTGACATATGACTTTATGTGAGAGCTTTTAACTGTAGCAGAAAAAGTTAGAAGTGACTTTTTGTAAGAACTTTTAACTGTAACAAAATTAGAATTGAAAACTCGAATCGATGAATTTAACAAGGCTCGTGTTTTCAAATGAATTATATGGGTCTCGTCTGTGCATTATTTAGCTGTATTAAGATTTCAAATGTACTCATCATGCAATGTATATATAAATAACGAAACTTTTTTTTTTTAAATAAAAGATGCATTTGTGTGGATATATGATGAAATACTTGGGAAAAATAATAAACCAGTGACAAGAAACAAAAGCTGTTGGATATTCCTATTTGTAATGTGTGTTTCCTTATGTAATATCGGATATAAAAATATATAAAAACCAAATAATATGCTGACAGATTTGGATAAAAATTTAATTTGTTTAAAATTGCATTTTTTTTATTTCTCATAAAATAATCGAACTTAAAGAAACTATATAAGTAGCTTTTTTTTGTTCTATCAGTAAGTAACTACAACTGATTCATACTAGTAACAAAATATGTAACCAGCTAAGAATGTGCATATAATTAGTAATTAATAATCTACTGTTTACGCTGGCTGCATAGAAAATGAAATCATGCATGATCAATAGTGTTTGTTGCATATAAATATTATGAAGGACAAAACAGATTTTGCTTTTTTTTTTTTTTATTAATAGAACTTGCTTAACTTGACTGTAGGCCAAGTAGGTGCAATCCTTGTTGTGATGTGCATATCATTTGACCAATAAGCTTTTAAACTTTGTATTAGTTCTAAGGGAGGTATGAATAATGTAGTGTGGTTGATATATATCAATTTTGCATTAATTTATATAATTAAATATTAATATAATCTTATAATTCAAATATTATTATCTATTATAGTATATAACGCACGTTATGGTTATATAATATATTAATTATCATATATTTATTTAATATAATATAATAATGATTATATTATAATATAATATAATATAATATAATATAATTATAATTTTTAATTATACTATAACTGAAATATTATTATTTCTTATGTAATATTATAATATGTTTTATAATATTGTAATTATATTAATTTTAATAATATTATTATATTCTATATCATATTTATATAATATATTATATAATAATAGTTTTTTGTATTATATTAAATATAATAATAAATATATATTATATTGTAATTATATATATTATATTATAGTATAATATAATCGTAATTTTTAACTATCAGCCTCATAATTTATAAACGCTATTACACTGATTTTAGAACCAACACAACTATTATAATTATAGTTTACCAAACACTCAGCTGCTTTTTGTAATAACTGTTTTTTTCAGCACAACTAAAAGTATTTTTTTTTTTAAATCTACAGCAATATCATACTAAGCAAATGTAGGCTTTGATTATTTTATTTTTATTTCATTTAATTTGTAATGAATTCTTAGTATAAAATACTTGAGAATAATATGGGTACGAACAACACAGCACCAATAATGAATTATGTCAAATACGACATTATAGCATGATTGTGCTTAATTGAATGACTCTTCACTCTACTCAAGTTCAATAAATGAAAAAAGAATAGCCAGTTATTTTCAAATCCTTTTTCTTATAATACATCCGATTATCACGGCTTTATGGAAAGTAATTTGACTAAATGCACGCAAAAATAGTTCTTTATAGGTGACTAAAATTGTTGTAAAGAACAAAAAAAAAGAAAGAAAGAAAAGAGCAAAGATGTAACATGTTGCTCATAAGTCATATGTGTGTACTTTTTGTTGCTGGAATAGAACCATTTCACACATCACGGAAGTCGCTATTAATAATGGTCTAAACCATCTCCACTAACAAAAGAAGATACAAGCCACTTCTATGGGGGCTGCGTATGAATGCATTTCGTACCCACTTCTATCAAGCCCTCTTTTATTACTAGATCACAATTGTTTCCCACATATTTAATGGGATTTTCTCTCCAATTTCAAAATTGTTTCCCACAAATTTGTAGGGGTATCCACTAATGTCTGGTTCTCACATTGGGATAAATACTATTATGTGAGGATTGCGTTTATTTATTTTTTTTATTTTTTTATTTTTTTCGAATCAGTTACTATATCAGATCGAATATATATATATATATATATATGTGTATATTTGAATGAAGAGATCGAATATATTTGAGAAACTTCGTTTAGTATGAAAAGGGAAGTCTTATTGACAAAGGAATATGGGAATATATGCTCTATAACCATAGAATAAGAATAGTGGAAATCTAACCCTCTATAATTAGGAATTTCCCCAAAATGGTAGTATCCTTCAGCTAAAACTAAACCCAAAAAAGAAAAGAGAAAAAGAAAAGAAAAAAAAAGGCAAAACCTTTGCAAACGACAACTCATGACGTATTTGAAAGTGGTCACCCTCTCTCCCCAGCCAAAAGCCCATTGGGCCACTATGTGGTCACTCCGGCCCAACAAAAGAAGGTGCTTGTTGACGGTCAACGCCGATGTAAATTTACGAAACGAGGTCTACGGAATCTCCGCTACCCAACACGTGGCCTATTCCCATTGGACCTCCTCCTCTTCCACTCCTCTTGGGCGACCATTTTTAAGCACCACCATTCGCCAAACCCCTCCCATTCATTCCCAATTTTCGCGTTCGCACACACTTCGATCTTCTTCTTCGACCTTAGAGGTAACCCCCAATCTTCTCATTCTTCGATCCGATTTTTCTCTGTCTCTGCGATTATCGTTGTAGTTTGAATTTGGATCTAATGGACTTGATTTCGTTTATTCGACAAAATAAATAATTGTTTTGTTTTTGGATTTGTGCATTTTTAGGTTGTTTTTTTTCTCGAGATCTAGGGTTACGATCCGTTTGGTTTTTCTGTTCTTGGTGTTTTCTAGACAATATGATGGCTCTTATGTGTTTCTGGTTTCATTTCCGTGGACTTGAGCTCTGAGATTTCCATTAATGGAAAGTTAGGCCTGGTTGTGGTTGACATATTGTGTTGAAGAAAAATTGTTTTTATTTTTTGTCTCCCTGTTTATATATGATTTTTTTTTCTCTCTCTGAAATTGTAGAATGGTGATTCTGATCTGTTAGTTGCTGAGAAAAGCCATTGAAAGGAATGTAATAGGGAATATGAATTTTTGTTTTGGTTTTTGAAGAATCTGAAACTTTTTCTAGTTGAATACAATATCTTAAGAGAGTTAATTAGCTTAGTATTGTAGTATTCAGATCCGAGACACCAAGTGGATGGTTAGTTAACCATTTATGTGTGGGTTCTCTGTGTAATTATCGCCTGAGATTGTTGATTTGTTATGATGTTTGTTTCGGACTTGTAAGATGTGTAAAATTTGCATTTAGCGATCAGATTTTTGTAACCTATATTTCCAGAATCGATTGATACTTCAATATTTTAAAGATGTCGCCAACTGATTCTTCGCGCGAGGAGAACGTCTACATGGCCAAGTTGGCCGAGCAGGCTGAGCGTTATGAGGAAATGGTTGAGTTCATGGAGAAAGTGGCCAAGACCGTTGATGTCGAGGAGCTTACCGTTGAGGAACGGAATTTGCTCTCTGTGGCCTACAAGAATGTGATTGGGGCTAGGAGGGCTTCGTGGAGGATCATCTCCTCCATTGAGCAGAAGGAGGAGAGCAGGGGAAATGAGGACCATGTCACCATCATAAAGGATTACAGGGGTAAGATCGAGTCCGAGCTGAGCAAGATCTGTGATGGGATCTTGAACCTTCTAGAGTCACATCTTATTCCGTCGGCCTCATCTGCTGAATCTAAGGTGTTTTATCTTAAGATGAAGGGTGATTACCATAGGTATCTGGCTGAGTTTAAGACTGGATCTGAGAGGAAGGAAGCTGCTGAGAGTACTTTGCTTGCTTACAAGTCAGCACAGGTGGGCATCTAGTCATTTGGTTTGTTGTGTTTTAATTTTTTATGTTATCTTATTTTGTTTGGCTAATTTTTACAATCGTTGATTTTATTCTCATTTTTTCGCTAATCTCTCAGGACATTGCTCTGGCTGAACTGGCTCCTACCCACCCAATAAGGCTTGGACTTGCACTTAACTTCTCCGTGTTTTACTATGAGATCCTTAACTCACCTGATCGTGCTTGCAATCTTGCAAAGCAGGTAATTTTGCTCGACTATGTACTCACCTTTTGTTTTCTGCATCTTATTGTTAGTCTTGTTTCCATTATCTGCATCTTATTCCTTGTTTTGCTTATATCTCCCTCGGTGAAGTTGGACTAAGATTGTTGATAGCGCTTGATTAGATTATGTGAATTCTATGGATAGCTTCCTTCCCGATTTGTTAACTTGTAATGGTTACAGTTAGTGGAGATTGTCTGTTTGTGCAGTGCTTCTTGGCCATGCCATACAAATTTATCTATTTAAGTTTGATCAGGGTTGAATCATATTGTCATTTATCAGCCACTGTCCTTTTCTAGGATTATTCATTCCAGTTTTGGCTGTGTTATGGATTATGCATTTACACTCGCGACCTCTTCTCCTTTGAATAACACATGTTTTATATGTTGGTAACTGAATTAAATGTCATCCTCTTATTTAACTTCGAGCTAAACCGATCATATCGTTCTTTTGTGTTATAGTAGAAATGATGTTGGGAAGATTTGCTGATTAGTACAGGAATAAGGAGATTTGTATTATGTATAGTTGTCAATTATAATCTCATACTTCATCCTTTGTAGGCTTTCGATGAGGCTATATCTGAGCTTGACACATTGGGTGAGGATTCCTACAAAGACAGTACATTGATTATGCAACTTCTCCGTGACAATCTGACACTCTGGACTTCTGACATCACGGTAACTCTAGCCTCTCTTGCATTTAACAAAACCTATCTAATTCTAATTCTAATTCTAATTCCAATATTTTTAGCATTCTCATCTATGACTGCTCCTTGGCTAATGTTTGTTATTCCGGAATTCAGGATGATGCCGGCGATGAAATTAAGGAAGCATCAAAACGTGAATCAGGGGAGGGGCAGCAGTGATTATATGTTTCGATAAAATAGGATATGTACTCTTTTATTGTTATCTTCCTTTTTAATAGATGCCATGGTTGTAGTAGCACAATTTCTTAACGAACTGGGAGGCCTCTAGTGTATTGCCACTCTGGGGTTGAAATGTTTCAACGTATTATAAATTTGCTTTTTATTATTGGTGAGAAGAATTTGGTTTAGTTTTTAGGTGTTGTGCTATGTTAATTGGTACCAGAGTTAGGTAATTTATAACCTCCTTTTTTTTTTTTTTTTTGGAATGAGGTCCGTGATAGTGATACTTTGTTTTGGTACGGTGTGGTACTTTTATTTTAGCATGGTTGGTGTGGCGACAATAATGCTCTACAACAACGCAACAAATTTTAGCATGGTTGATCTTAGGAATTGTACTGTCGTAATGTTGGGATTAAAATAACGTCGTATTGAATACAATTAATTTTGTTCCAAGTATCAAATTGTGCCTAAATTTAAGAATAGTTTGGGGATTCTCTTCGGATTACTAGTGTCGTTAGTGCTCACGAAGTTCAGAATAACTAGTTTTGGTCGGTGTTTAAGCTTGCTGGAAGTACAACGGACTAACTCGTGGAAGAAATTTTGGCATGGTTCTCTGTGTTTTTTCCACAACTCAGACAGCGTTGCTACTCCTTTGGGCAACAAAACATTCTTCACATTACATCATTTTGTCTGGCAAAAAGTCTTGGCTAGCGTCACACACACTTTACAGGCGTAAAATTAGGCGAACATTTAGTTGATGAAAATTGAAAACGAGTGCTCTCATGTACGTATTTGCTTTAGAAACGCAAAACTAATCCGATTGTTGGCTATCATGTAAAACAGCATTTTTCACTGTTGAGGTTAGTCATAATACGCATGTCTGCTCATGCTTGTTAGAAAGTGACGTTGTTTCATCACTGGAGGCAGCTTACTATGTCAAAAAAAAATCTCATTCATCTCAATGGGGTTAAGACCCCGATATTCACAAAAGGTTGGTCCCATTAAGTTATTGAGTAAGACCTCAATTTAGTGACCCACCATCTCTGATATTCACAAAAAGTAGGTCCCGTTAAGTTGTTGAGTGAGGCCTTAATTTAGAGAGTGTTTAGTATGATGATTCGTGTTATAGTTTGAATCATAATTTGTGGTTTATTATAATATTTTTTCTTATAAAAAATACACATAAATCTAAAATGATTCTAAATCTGTGAACTAAACGATCACATGATGCGTTTGGTTCAAGGATTCATGTCATGGTTCGAATTATGATTCGTGACTCGCTACAGTAATTTTTTCTCACAAAAAACATACATAAATCAAGAATGATTCTGAATTCATCAACTAAACGTCAGAGTTTTATCTTAATATTATTTTTGAAAAAAAAAAAATAAGAAAGTGTTTCAGTTGGTGCCTTTCCATTCCACTAGAGCAGTCACGCATTTCCGCGTCGGGTTCGCTGCCTTTCCTTTATGCCCCAACTTGACTGCACCACCCCCTAAATATTATACAAAGTGTAACTAAACCCAACTTTACGTTCTCTTTCTCAGTTCTCACTTCTATTTTGCAATTGCTTCTAAACAAACACTATTGTGTGTATTGATTGTCCGCGCTCACCAATGGCTTCCAACACCGCCCAACTTATTGCTTGGTCTCTCTGCTCTTTCCTTTCTTCTTATTCTGTTATTATTCACTCAAACAGCTAGTGAAAGAAGAAAGTTTTTTGTTTTTTTTTTGTTTTTGTTTTTGTTTGATTGAAAATGGTGTGAAAAAACAGGGGCTCTGGTGAAGACGGGCAATTAGGGCTGGGCAGCAACGAAGAGAAAGAAAGGGTCTGCGTCGTCGAAGCTCTTCAGTCCCAGAAACTCCGCTCCGTCGTCGCCGGTAGTAGAAACTCCCTCGCCATTTGTGAAGATGGCAAGGTCCCCTCTTTTCTTCTTCTTCTTCCTCATCAAAGTTTTTTTTTTTTTTTTTGGTGCTTATTTATTTATTTTGGTTTGATTGTGTAGCTGTTTACATGGGGATGGAATCAAAGAGGGACGCTTGGACATCCTCCTGAAACCAAAACTGAGAACATCCCAAGCCAGGTCAAAGCTCTTTCCAATGTCAACATTGTCCAGGTACCCAATCCTCCTCCTTCATTTTAATCCTTCTTCATTTTGGGACAGAAAATACATTTTTTAATTGTGTGTTTGCATTTTTTCTTCCGATTAAAATGGTGGGTTTGTTTGATTTCTAGGCGGCTATTGGTGGTTGGCATTGTTTGGCTGTTGATGATCAAGGAAGAGCTTACGCTTGGGGTACAATATAAATAGATATTTTTTCCCCGTCTTTTATTGTTAGAGAGTCCATAACAGCAAATAACAGTTCACTACTTTATTTAACATTTTTACCCAAAAGAATGTGAGTGATAATGTTGTTTGGGAGTTTAGTTGTTGATCAATCTAATCATGATTGAATCAGGTGGAAATGAGTATGGACAGTGCGGGGAAGAACCCGAGCGGAAGGACGACACTGGTAGGCCTTTAAGAAGGGATATAGTGATTCCTCAGCGCTGTGCACCAAAGCTTGTAGTTCGCCAGGTATTTTACTTATAGTTATAGGAGTGCGAATATCTTTTTGGCCGATGTTACTACATCTTCAGTTGATGTTTGAAGGAATGCAATAGTCATTTCTTATTGTTTAAGTCCACTGTTGTCTGTTGGTACATAGATAGTTGGTGCTTTGCTTACCGCTGCTGTCATAAAATAAGATTGTTTCAGCTCCATCTTTCTTACTTTTGGATATTTTAAATGAATAGTCTTGATTAACACCCCTCGACATCTTACATTGGCCGATATTGTTTTTTAATGCAACCACATAGTACTGCGCCTGGATGTAAATTGTGTGTTGGTATATTTGAATCTTTTTCGCATCACAGGTAGCTGCTGGAGGAACTCATTCTGTGGTACTTACTCGTGAAGGGCATGTATGGACATGGGGTCAACCGTGGCCTCCTGGAGACATGTAAGGGTGTCTTTAAATTCAATGCATACTTGTAGTCGTAGCAGATGACTCTTTTTATGTGTCTGTTTTCAGTTCATGTATACTTTGTGACGATTCCTCTTTTTCGTTGTATACTTTTACAGAAAACAGATTTCTGTTCCGGTGCGAGTGCAAGGTCTTGAGGCGGTCAGAGTGATCGCAGTGGGGGCATTTCATAATTTGGCTCTCCAAGAGGATGGTACTTTATGGGCATGGGGTAACAATGAATATGGACAATTGGGGACCGGAGATACCCAACCCAGATCGCAACCTATTCCTGTCCAAGGGCTTTCTGGTCTTACTCTGGTTTGTATAATATCTTGTAAAAAGCTCTGTTGTTTCCATCTACTTGTGAAGTTGCCCATTTTCTTCTCAAGCATTGGGGCCTAGAGAAGTGGCTCTCAAGCTCTCAGTGTTAACGCGTATCCTGGTGAAAATGAATCCTCGGTTCTTTTCTATTATGTAGTTTGATGTTCAGAACGAGATGTTTATAGATGTGATAGAACACTAGTTTCTTAGAACTTTTAATAGATGAATTGAAGAATAAATTAGCTAAAGTGTTCTTAGAACTTTTAATAGATGAATTGAAGAATAAATTAGCTAAAGTGTTCTTAGAACTTTTAATAGATGAATTGAAGAATAAATTAGCTAAAGTGTTCTTAGAACTTTTAATAGATGAATTGAAGAATAAATTAGCTATTGAATCAAGGGAAAAAAAATGGTTGATACAAGATTTGACAGGATTTCAAGAGCCTGTCTCACTCCTCGCTCAGGTTGGCTGAGTAATCCTCCACTACTTGCCTGCCTCTCTAACTGACTTTCTCTACACTTATACCCCTCACGTTCCCTCTAACTGTCGCCTTCACAACACAACAGCTCAATATTCTCCTCTAACTCCTAACCGATTGTTCTAACTCTTTACTAACTCTGCCCCTCACCATACCATTCTCACTCTCCTTTCCTATCCCCCCTCACATTAGTGAAATCTTATAAGAGGTCTATCAATATGTTTTTGGTATGTTTAGTAGCTCGATAAGGTTGTTCCCTTCCCTCTTTTCATGCCCAGGTTGATATTGCTGCTGGAGGATGGCATTCTACTGCACTTACAGATGAAGGAGAGGTAACTATCTCTCTCTCTCTTTTCTCTAGTGAAGAATTTATGTACTTTCTGTTCATGGGTATAGATATTGTATGCTGATACATGACAGACAAGGGCTGTTCTCCCGCCTTCAACGTAAATAAATTAGATGTGTGGCCGTTTGTTTTACAGGTTGTTTAGAGAATTTTGCCTTTTAGAATGCTAGGCATTTAACCTTATCTCTGTTGTAGCTTGTAGGGTATGAAAATGCTCATAGCATTATTTTCCTCTAATCTCCTCTCTATTGCTAAGAAGCAAAAATATCTTACTCGAAGTTAATCACCTTCTGTAAGACTAGTATAATCAATGTGAAGATAAGTTTAAATGCAACTATAATATTTTTGTTTTTATTGTAATCTTTTCTAGTCTGCTATAATATTTCACGAACTTAGAATATTTCTATTAAGCATTACAGGGTCATCAGCATTCATAATAAAGAGAGAAAATGACAAATCTGAATTTTTGTTCTCTGGTATAAAGAAGACTTATTTCTCATTTCCACATCATGCAAGTGTGCGTAAATAAAGTCGAATATTGCAGGCATGAGTTTGAATTGTAGTGGCCATTTTCTGGTATTGATAAAGCATTATTTCTTGTATTTGGTTTGACATTGTTTGGCTGCATATGTTGCACCTACGCCCCGTATCTCTCTTTTTTGTTTTTCCCTTGCTAGATTTTGCAATATCTGTATTTTAGCAGAAAACAAGAAATCAAGTTTTGGTCTTGTGCCTTCTAATACCAGGTCTATGGTTGGGGACGCGGGGAACATGGAAGACTTGGATTTGGAGATAATGACAAGAGCAGTAAAATGGTCCCCCAGAGGGTTAATCTTTTAGCTGGAGAGGATATCGTTCAGGTACCATCAGTATACTTCTTTTGTTGCCTGTAACTTGCTAAGCTAGAAATAAATGCTGTCACAAAACCTGGAAAATCCTACACGCTGCCACACCGGTACGAGTTCGAGAGCCTCTTATGTTGCTGAACTGCCGATATCCATGTATTGTAAGAAACTAAGTCAGCAAGCAAGATACTGGTCACTTTTGTTGCTTCCTTGTTCCACGCAGCGTGAAATTTAATGTAGTTGAAAGTAAGAAACTTGCTATGAGTGTATCACTTGTTTCAATCGTCTAAGCTAGACCACGTTTCGATTTGTCTATAGATATCCTGTGGAGGCACTCACTCAGTTGCATTAACCCGCGATGGACGCATGTTTTCAGTAAGTGCTTTTGATTTCCTCATGGCTTCTCTTCTTTTGAACACTTTTTATTTCTTTTCACCATATAATTCTCCTCTTAAGATGTGAAGATATTATTAATGGTAATATGAAAATATCTAAATAGTGGTGGTGTTTGATTTATAGGTTTAATTTACAGCTCAAACTTATCTTTTTTCCTGCAGTGTTTTCTATCGTAAAAATTTTAAATTTTAAATTTTTATGTTCATATGAATCAAACAACACTACAACACTTTACTTACACTTTACTTACAGTGTTTTCTCTATCGTAAAAATTTTAAATTTTAAAATTTTATGTTCAAACTTATGAACCTAACAACACACCAACACTTTGAGGTGATTTGACGATTCAGAATTATATCTTCCCTATAGGGTACCTTTTCCTTTAATTTATCGTAGAATTCTCCCAATCTTAATATCCAAACATTCGGGATTTTTTTTTTCACGTGTCCTTCAAACTTGATTAAATCCATTTTTCTTTCACTAAATTGTGACTACTTGTTTTGTCACTGGCAGTTTGGTAGAGGCGACCATGGACGTCTAGGATATGGAAGGAAGGTGACAACCGGACAACCAATGGAAGTTACCATAAACATCCCCGCTCCTACAAACTCAAATGGAAGTGCATCTGAGGGACGTTGGATAGCCAAGCTCGTTGCTTGCGGAGGACGCCACACGCTGGCAATTGCGGAATGGAAAGACTGATTGAATGAAATCATGAAAGAGAGCTTAGAAATGTGACAATTGATCGACCCTTTTTTGTGGAAAAACTTGCGGGGTTTTCTTAAACTGCATTCTGCTTAACTCTTCAACATCAATATAGCGAAGACAATGTAATAATAATATTCTTGGGATTTAAGCATGCAAAAAAGTTGGTAGTGGTACAAGTCGTTGTTGCTCCTCCTAGCAAAGCAAAATGTTCACGCCAAAGTAATGGCAAGCTTTCTTCCTATCAACCAGACGGATAGGTACATTTACATACACAAAAGGAAGTCAGGAAACCGATGGAGTGCTAGTCTTCTGTTCTTGATGACCCATGGAAATGCCATGGCGATGTTGTTTTTGTTGTCGGTCGTCGTCGTTGCGGTAACCTGGACCGTAATGGCTGCTGTACATCCCGCCGTGCAGTAGCACCACATAAAGAAACTGGCTCAGCAGTGATATCACTATGAAGGCTTCTAATGTTTGCTGCCAAAGTCATCATTTTAGAGAAACAAGCAAGAACATTTTCGTATACAGTGATTAAAAAAATTAAAATACTAACAAAAACTTACTCCTTGTTTTATCTTTATACTAATTTTCAAGAATGCTGAATTTTACAAATCATGTCAAAAAGTATCCTAACATTATTCATACTGAATATTTCAACACGATTTATAAAACAAGAATCAGAGAATGAGTGCAACGTTCTGAAAACAAGGGCCCATTTGGTTTACTCGTTTGAAACATGATTCCACCACACACACACACACTCTTACCAAGCGCTTTCCTCTACGACCCCCTAATATGATCTCCTTGCATACGAGTCTGTTGCAGGAGAACTACAATTAGGCCATATTGTGACAGACACAAAGTACTTTATAATTTCGCTTTGGAATGAGGATTAATTATGTGGAACAAACAAGATACCCAAAAGCGAGAGCTGTTAAAGCCCAAGAGAGGAGAGCCAATGCAGATGCAGATGGCAAGCTCTCACCACGCCATGCCCGCAGATGCAACAGCCCCGGAAGCAGCGAGCAAGCACCCACCACCCCAGCTATCAGCGCAAACATCAACATAAAGCTCGTTGATGGATTCCCACCCAAATCTGTTTACATTATTAACAAAACCAAACAAATTATACAAAACCCATTTCCCCAAATCAATCCTATTTAATATTGTATGTGAGAAATGGAAAGAAAAACAAAATTAAGGGCATACGGGGATGGTTCTGCTCTCCGTTGATGTACTTGTCAAGCGACCATCCAGCCAAACCAAGCACGACCACATAGACTACCAAGTTGACTGCTAAAAGAGGACCCAGTAAGTCTCTAACTCCTCTCCCTTGCGCCATATCCGAAGCTCAATCCACACTAACTAATTTTTACGTGTAAGGGGAGACAGATATTAAGCTACCCAAAATTTAAAGAAAAAAAAAAGCTGGGGTTTATGAGTGGTTGTTTAAGTTGGTGAAGTGACAAAAAAGGCAAAGCGAAAAAAGGGTTTTGCTTATGGTTAATGGTTACGCGGTATCTTGTTGGGAAATCAACTAAACTAGTGCCTTCCGCGTGAAGAGTTCAGTTCTCTTGCAAATACTAGAAATCATGTTTGTTTGGAGACATCAACAAATAGTTGAGACAGAGTGGGGGGAGTTTGAGTAATAGATTTAAGGCCAAGTTCGCATTGTTCGTGCTGTTGAAAATATCATTGTTACTGTGCCGTTAGTAATAAATTGCTGTGATTACAAATTTATCGGTTCTACTGTCGTTTTCCGAGTGAATAGAGGTCTGAATATTTTAATAATAATTATATTGTTTGTTGCTTTATTTGCACTACAGATGTTGGCTTTTCGGACACGAGGAGATCATGCATGTATCCAGGTATCGATGGCCTTCTTTGCTTTCCTTAAACGTGCCACGCCTTATCCTAAAAACATGATGAGCTTTGTTTTGCTTTCATGTTGAGCAACTTTGAGAATTATTTAAATACTTTTGACACCAATTTAGACCCCATTCGAAAAGTTTAGGCCAAGAACAAAAAAGTTTGTGTGTCCTGAGTTAGACCCGATGCATCCTACTACTACTACTACTTGTCGACAAAAGAGCAACGCTAGGGGCATCTAAAACCACACTTGAATAGTAATTGAGTCTTTTTTACGTGATCGATCAAGAGCAAAATGTTACAATTCCGGAATTTGAAAAAAAAAAAAAAAAAAAAAAACAGGATACATTGTTATTAGGTCAAAGTTAGAGAAATAAATTTAATATTTTATCTTTTTTATATAAAGTTTTTAAGTTAGATATTAAGAAAAATAATTAAACGACAGTTCAAAATAACCATATAAGGATTAAATGATAAAACATCATAACCGGATTAGTTGAAAGAAAAATAAAATAAGACTTTTATGTCACCAATTTGTAGTTTTTCACATTATTATATTTTTCGCAATAAAATAAATAATAAATTTATGATTTATTGTTGCTATTTTTAAATATTTTACTAATTATTAAAATGTTCGAGCAGAATATAGTATACAGCATTTTATTAAAGAATTTGTAATTTTTTAAAATAAAAAATTTATATGTTCTAGAAATAGATAAAATGGGTAAATAAGGTTCATCAAGGTGATCTTGATTTTTTTTTTCTTTTTGATATTGATGTTATCTTGTTGTTTTAGTTCTCATTGATCAGATTTTCTCGACTTTTCGGTTGTTTTTTATTTGATTTTCACATATCGTTGTGATCAATATGGATGTTTTTTTCAAAAAGAAAAAAAAAAGGACTTTTTTTTTTGTTATCATTATTTAAACTAACATAAGGATTCAAGAAAGGACATTTTGGGTCCCTTAGGATATTCAAATGGTATTTTCTTCACATAAGGGTATTTTTGTAACCCTACTAGTTTATTCTAATTTTTTCCAAGTTTTCAGAAAAGTAAACAATAGAATAAACAAATTTAAATTCTCTCTGTGACTTAATTCTGTGTGTATTAATAAACACTTTAATGTCCCCTAAAAATATATATATATATATAATAATAATAAACAAATTTAATGTAATCCTGAAATTTTTAAATGGAAAATTTCTGTTTTCTTGGTCCTACTCTTTCATATTCTCCTATTTAATAATCTTCTTCTGTTGTTTTATTCAAAAGCGTTTTACACTTTTCCCGCTTCCTTGTCTTGGTCAAGATGTTTCTATCCAAGCCTAGCCTTGATTATCTTGATAGAAGAGCAATTGGCATAGATGATAATCTGAGTAAATTGCAGAGAAAGCAGTATCATAATCAAAATGATGAGCTTGAAAACCATGCCTCAAACAAACTTAGATATCTAATCCATGCTTATGGAAGTGACGATAGGGATGTTGTTACACCTTCAAGAGAGCTTCTTGACACAAATGTTTTGATCCAAAGGCCTTCTTCTATGCCATGGCAGAATACTGAACATGCAGTTCCTTTTCTTGGTGTACGTTTCCTTCGCTTGTTCTCGGTTCTTGTTGCTTAATGAGTTTCGTAGAAAATTCGATTATGGTGTTTGCATTTTTAAAAGAAAGCATTGTAATTGTTGTTTTCGCGGTTGATGAATTCATTGTATTGTTTCGTGAAATAATGCTTGAAAATAGCGCAATTCATAATCTGTTTTTCTATAGATGTATCAGCATTGATTATACGAAGTAAGTCCAAGTTTTCAGCATAAGTTAAAAAGGCTGTTTCTTTCTGCAGTTTGATCATGAGACAAATCATAAGCTGCTCTCTCTTTCTCAACCCATCAATTCCGGAGGAAGAGGTAAGGATTCAAGAATGATTTTCTTTAACACTTGACTCTATTAGTGTTGACACTCCGATCGGTTGTTGTGGCAGCATCGGTGGGGTTAAGGCCTCCGGTACAGGTTATACGTGGTTTGCACCCATCACCGCCCTTGAATTCGATTATGCAGCCTATGCAAAACCAGCAAGAACACCAGAGGCAGACTCCTTCGCAACTGCAACAGCTTGCAAGCGCATTCTCTGGTTTGCTTAATTCTCTACTGGCTCAAGGCGTGATCTCACTGACAAAACCCAATTCTGTTCAGGTATTTGAGCAATTTTCCTCCTTTTACCATGTAAAGTTTTTATCATGGTTTATTCGTCTCTAAACCATTTTATTTGAAATTTTAGGAATCTCAGCCACTCAAGTTTGACTCGGATCTTCTTAAGGCGCGTAATGAGTCTGCAGTCAAAGCTCTTTATGGTGATCTCCCAAGACAATGCAGAACCTGTGGCCGACGATTCAAGAGCCAAGAGCTCTGTAGCCACATGGACTGGCAAAAGACTAAAAACCATATGTCGAAGAACAGGAAACTAGACAAGCTGTCTCGTGAGTGGTTTGTAAGTGCACGTTTGTGGCTTATTCGCACAACTGATGCAGTTCCTGTGTTTTTACATTCTGAGATTATTGTGGAAAAGAAAAGTGATGAAGAATGTGCGGTTACTGCTCATGGGGATCGGAATGTATGCGCTCTGTGTGGAGATTCTTTTGAGGAGTTTTATAGAGAAGAGGCAGAAGAAAGGATGTACAAAAGTGCAGTGTATTTGAATGCACCGAATAGTTCACAGTTAGGCCCTATTGTGCATGCTAAGTGCAGGTCTGGCTCTAGTATTGTTCCCCAAGCAGGTTTTGGACAAGATGAAGAGGTATTTCTTCTGTCTTTGTATTTTGTTTTGCTCTTACACCTTTGTTATGCATGCATAATGCACTAACTATGCTTCTGACCAAGTTCATAAGTGAAACTCATGTCAAAGTAGTTACATATTTCAATTTACTGGATACAGAATTTGTGCTTGTCTAGAACTAGGTCACTAGCTTGTTTAACGAAAGGATCATTGACTTCCTCTTTAGTGTTTATTTAACTATTAAGAAGTAGTTTTGAAACAATCCAATTCACTGTTTAGTATTTTACCAACTTCATGAATAGGAATCCTAATAGGTTAAGTACTAATCTATTCTTATGCACATAAATCTTAGTTAAAATTTATTAACGCCCAAAAGTAATTAGGATTGATGTTTTCCTTTTCTCATGATTTCTTACAATCATGTGGGCCCTACTAAATTAGCACTTCTCATTTTGTAAGCAAGCACGTGATTAAGTGAGAAAGGAACTAGTAAACATGCCCTCAGAGTCTTGAACTGCGAAGGATATTAGTAATTAGTCATTTCCTTTCACAGACCGAATGTGGAATTCTTGTCTATGTATTAGTATCGTATAGATATACGTTTTGGTATTTACTTGATTGTTTATGTGATTTGCAGGGACCTACTGTAGAGGGTAGTCGAAGAAAGCGACTGCGGATTTAATATGGTTAGTTCAACTTCCCGCGTCTTCCGTAACTTATATTGAGTCTCTTCCTGTTTATGGTGCAAGCTTAACTAGCTCTTACAATAGTGTTGGAGGCAATGCCCTGGGATGTTGCCAGAATCATGTGAATGTATAACTTGATTTCTACCATTCATATATAATGCTGTTAGTAATTACTCATATTATGACGGATTTTTCGCTAGAGCGAACAATGAATGAAAGAACTTTTGCTTCATTCTAGCCATGGATTTGTAATGCAATACCGGAGTTTGTTTTATCTTCTCTGTTTTGTGGTTGACCATTCCAAAACTTAGTGTGAGAAGTGAGAACTGTGAAATATCTATGTATTCTTACGACAAATACTTTAAAAAGACGACAGTGAAAAGAAAAACCAGGATGTTCATTAAACAATAGTAAACAGTGCTTTTGGATTAGCATGTCGTTTGAGACACTAAAAAAATGCCAACGACTAAACGTCGTTTCATCTTTAAAACAACTCAACTAAACACAAAAATCATCCTAAATAAGTGCATTTACAAGACACGGTTTCCATATGTTAAAATTTTTGTTCTAATATACCAAAGGTTCAAAAAAAAAAAAAAGAAAAAAAAAGAGGATCACTGACATTGATTTGCATGAAAACGAAGTAAGAAACAAGCAATAGTGGAAACAAAACGAGCAAAAACCTTCATTTCATACACACACACACACATATCTATGTTCCAAAAACAGAGAATGCTCTCATTCTACACGAGCCTGCAAACTTTGAACTTGTTGTATCCTTGTTCCTACATCTATAAAAAGCTTTTGGCCACTACATCGTTCAAGGGAGGTTCGACAATGAAGAATAAAGAGCTTAAAATGACAATAAAGACACCGAATAAGAACAGGGATTTGCAAGGATCAGCTTGTCGTTTTACAAGTGTTAAACCTTCTTCTTGCCCAGTTCTTGAGGCTGCATCACCCAGTTGAAGTGTTGGGCATGTAAGTAAGCCATATGCCACGCCAGTAAAAGTTGCTCCAAAATGTGACCTATTCACAAGAAATCACACGTGTGTACCTTTATGATTGGGGACGGAGCCAGAAATTCTTTTCAGGATCGCGTGAAATAAACCAAAAGTTTGAACTAAACTACAATGCAATAGCCTTTTACACATGTACCTTTACGTTCACCTTTAAAATTGAGTTTTTTCATGCATAATAATATATAATACCTTTTATTCAATTTTGAGTATTTCTATCTTCTATATATTTGACATGGTCTTAAAAGAAGGAATAATGCAAAGGGCACTAAATTGTTTACTAAATTTTCGATATTGAATGATATGAGAATTGACTCGTGTAGAAGGATGCGTCTCTAATTTAACTGTTATTAATTGAGGCAGCTAAGAAACGGTTACATCAAGAATGTAGCTTTTCTGAAACCATGTGCAAAATCTCTTCTCCAGATGCCATTTTATCATTGGTTCTTGTTGTACAATTTATTTGGGATTAAGAATTGAGAGTGTGAGATTCTTGGAGAATCTCTGGATTTTATGTGGGATTTGGTGAGAGTGCTTGTTTCCTGAGAAAGTGAGAAACTGATATGCATACATTGCAATGAGAGTTCCTGAAAATCTTGCTGGGGGAATGAGGGTGCAATTGCTTCTGATTAGTGTATTGGACTGAGGACTAAATCCCTGCCTTGGATGTAGGATTGCTTATTGAAATTTGAACAAAGCGAACTTCTTTTCTATTTTGCTGTTTAAGTCGACTTCTTTCTGTTTGTTTTGCAGATTAGAGTATAAAAACCTCCTAGATCGTATACGATCTAAGGTGGAATGTAAACAAATATCTGCAGGATACTTTTTAAACAGTCTCTTCTTTAAATAATGCAGATCTTACCAGTCATCAATTGGACAAAAATGGCTCAATATCAAGCCAAGACCTGTAGCGATTATCGCCTTTTGGTACATACTGTCCGAAACATCCTTAGCAATAACATCTTTGTTTTGGTTCTGATAAATCAGCCAAGCTCCAATTATGGCATATACTGGTCCCTGAGATGAGAGCATAATGGGCTTAGTTCACTATTCAAAATGAAACGAGAAGAAAAAGTAAGAAACAATACAGCTTGCCAAAAGAAAATGAGCAACAGAAATTTCCTTCCAAAATATAAGCCTAGTAAAACACCAGAAAATAAAATTTGTAAAGAAATAAAAAAAGGGTTTTTCTAGATGCTTACTGTCCCACCAACAGTTGGGTCTGGTGTGTGAAGAAAGCTAATCAAGTTGCCAGAGATTCCTCCAAGAATGTAGATCAAGACAAAAGTGAATGAACCATATCCTTTACATACTTTAGGCCCAAATGTGAGAAGTACCCAACAACTAAGAGCAATGTGAAAAAATCCATAGTGCTGCATATACAAAATAGCACAAATAAAAGTTCAACCAAAATATATAAGATAAATAAATAAATACAAGCATATAATTAAAATTCTCAAATTTGCAGGACAACATCCTCTAATCAAACAACTATAGTCATAGAAACATAAGAGTTTAGTTCCCTACAATGGAACAACTATCTCGTTAGCATGCTATTAAAGAACAACAAAACTTAGAGCAATATGTTTAAATCGGTAAGGGTTAATTCCATTTGTAGTCCCGAAATATAACCAAATTCCATTTTAGTACTTGACTTGTGAACATCTTAGAACAAATCCCTGAACTATTAAGGCATTTTAAACTAGTCGTTCTGTCTACTTTACTGTTAAAATCTCGATAGAAAAAGACACGATGCTCTTTTTAATTGACGTTCCTTAACATGTAAAATTACAAAATAAATCTTTACTAAAGTCCTCTCGTGCCTTTTTTTTTCATTGAAATTGTAACGATTGGATGGATAGAAGGACTAGTCTATAACAATTTCATAGATCGGGTACTCGATGTTTTAGAATTCAGGGACTGAATAAGGATTTGTCCTATAATTTGAGGATTAAAAATGAAATTAACCCAATTGATAATAACGCCGATGATTATAAACAAGATAAATGTCAAAATGACTATGTAACACAGAATGGAAACACGAACCCAATTGTCAATCTTGTACCAGAAACATTGGCGTCACAAGCCTCCACCATTCTCCAACTAGGATCATATGATTGACCTTTGCTCCATATAACAATGGCAGAGAAGACAGCTCTAGTTCAGAGTTTCTAACTGGACTTGCTATTTCAAACAGAATAACAGCGATGTTTATAGAAGCCAATATGCTTCTGCACCAAATATAGTGGAATAAACAAGCGTTAGATCTAATAGTTATCAGCAAAAATAGTTCTATAGGCATAAAGTAAAAGCAGTGTTTTACATTAAGTAGAGATCCGATGTTTCGTCGTCTTGTTGCAACATTTGAGAGCTCTTTGGACTATTTTGACTTCTTTGATTCATGTTACTTGTAGTTTTAGCTTCTTTGCCTCTTTCGGATTCTTTACTAATAAAGAACGGTTCTGAGACTGCACTGTCTTTGACTGAATCCTCATCAAAAGAAGATGATGTCGTCGGCTCAACGATGTTCGCACTATCTTCTTCCAAGTCTGCATCTGAATTGAGGGTCAGAAAAGACTTTTAAGAAAGTTAGAAAGTTGCCTGCTAAGTTTATAACGGTTTGGTATAGATTGAAATAGTTTTGTACTTTTTACCTTTATCAAGCTTGTCAAGATAAGCATCTAGAATTTCCAACCTCTTCTTAGAGCTCAACTGATTAGTACTGCTTTGTACGGAAGATTCTGAAGTGTTCAAACTTTTGTTGTCGTCTTTGAGTTTTCCAAAATAAGACGACAAAGAACTCAGTTGCTTGTCATTGGTGTTAGAATCCGACGCACACCAAACTCTGCTCTGCGAATCGATTCCCGAAAACGATCTTCGTCGGTTTTTGGAATCACATGACCTGGCCTGCAGAGCAGTTCCTTCAGCCATAGTCCTAAAAACTCTCTCGCTCCTAAAGGCTTTCTCACTCTGTCTTGTTACACATTGTACTTGTTGAGTTTGATCTCTGTAGGGCATTTTGTAGCATATTGGAATAACAGACATGTTGTCCTGTAAGAAGAAAAAAACAGTAACAGATTAATAACAAGTACCATGTCAGAATATCAGCATCTATCACTTCTTTAAGGGTCTTAAAACTGTTATCACAAGAAAAAGAAAGATAAGTATACTTACAAGCATTCACATGTGTATGTGTATACTCGGTCATGATTAAAAAAAAAAAAACAGGGATTATTTTTTTTCTTTTTTTTCCCAAAACAAAAAAAAAAAAAAAGGGGTTTTTTTTTTTTCTTTTTTTTCCCAAAACAAAAAAAAAAAAAAAGGGGTTTTTTTTTTTTCTTTTTTTTCCCAAAACAAAAAAAAAAAAAAACAGTGATTATTCTTTTTCATTTTTTCTCACAAACCAAACAAACAAAAGAAAACCAAAAGTGGCATAAAGAGTTACTACTACGTGGTTTTCAAGTACCTGAACTCGCAGGTGTGTGTGGTTTCAGAGAATTACAAGGTTTTCAAAGGTTGTTGCAACTAGTTATTAGTATTCTTCAGCTAAATCTAATCCTTCATTTTCTCATTAATGGTTGTTAGAAATCCCATAAGAAAACTCGAACAGTAGACCAGACACAAGACAAGTCATGAAAAGGGAAAATAAATAATATTTGGGAAAGAAATCTCAAACGAATCTTTGCCTTATCTAGTGTTAGCCCATTCAGAAGTTGCCATGTCTGAGGCACAAAATCTGCAGCCTCAAATATGGTACAGAAACTCGGATTTTTGCAAATGGGCCCACCTCCGTATGGGCGTTGAGCTTCTTTGTGGTCGGAGGGGCCAAGTCAAACTCTGAGGTTGGTGACGTTACACGTGGAACCAAAGAGGAAGTGAATGGCTTTTGGTTTTGGTTTTTTTCTCTTTTTTTTTAATTTGGTTTTGTGCGGTCAATTACGTATCGTTCATTTCACTTATTCGTTTTTAATTTTAATTTTATTATAATTAAAAACTATTTAAAAAAAATACATTTAAAATTCTTATATAAAATTAAATTTTAACTTAAATTAAAAATTTAAATTTACGAACTAAACGATACCTAAAAAAAATGTTCAGGTTATAAGCTCCCCATCCATGACTGTCCCCCACATACATTAATGATGGTACTAATGTTGAGGCTTTCTAAGACGAAGTTTGGTTCATGAATTCATAATCATTATTTTAAACTATTCTCGGTTTACGTGTATTTTTTATGAAAGAAAATACTGTAGCGAGTCACGAACCATAATCCGAACCATGGCACGAATCCTTGCTCCAAACACACACTGAGTTTCTGACTTCCAAACTCCATGAGTTCTCCGATTTTATTTTTATTTTTTATATTCATCCTTATATTTTGAGGTTATAAAAAAAATTATATTTTATTTTAAATTGTATAACCTTTTGTGTAAAGATCACAATATCTCACATGAATGGGGATTTGTCCCAAACTGAACGGGGATGAATGATAATAATTAGAGACGAGAATAGGCAATAAGAGGGTACAAATCTTATCCTCAGTTGTAGCTGGCCGGGAATGGAGATAGCACATATTTGTTCCGATATACATATATTATGCATAAATTAGGGATAGTAATAAGGCGGGATGGGGTGGAGGATACTTTCTCATCCCCATTCCCGCCCCTCTAAACTGTCTTTTTTCCCATTTCCATCCTCACTTAAGGAGGGGTATAATTGGAGTCTTAAATTTTTTATTAGGGGACTTTTCTCGTACCCGCCTCATTCTCTATCATATATAGGATTATGCATTTCAAAATTATAACAATTTAAAATAAAAATAGAGTAAAAATTCATTATAAATTTAGATCAAAATTAAAGACTCAATAATAAAAATTAAATTCTTATTATATTACAAAACTAAATACAAAAATAATAACTAATGCATAAGCGAAAAGTTTAAAAACATCAAAACATTAAATGTAAATTATCTTTTTTTTTTTTATCTATTCCTAATAACTTTAAAAGTGGATGAGGAGGCAATAGTAATATAGTGAAAAATTGGTAATTGTCCTTTTTTCCCGGTATAAGAAACTATAATTGGTAGTATTTCCCTTTCCCAATTAAAAAAATGAAGTTATCCTTTTTTTTTTAAGAAAAATAATTTTAAGAGATTATAGTACCTAAATATATTTACATAAAAAATAACGCATTATGATCGGGGCGGATGCGGGATGGAGAGTACTTTCCCGTCCCTGCCCCACCACAAATGAGAAATTAGATTTTGTCCCATCTCCATTCTTATCTCCAATAATTATCCCCCATCCCCATCCCGTTTGTTTGTGGCGAGGTCCCATTTTCATGGGGATTATTGTCATCTCTAACATAAATATATATAATATCAATTTTTCAAGTTTAATTAGTCCCTTTTGGCTTTATTACTGTTTTTTGTTTTGCATAAGTTTAATTAGAATTAGAATTATTTTGTAAAACCTATTTAGATTTTGAATTAAATTTATATTTAAATTTTTTTAAAAAGTGTTTTAATTTTGAAATACAGTTCAAACCAGTGAACATGGATTAAACAAATCAATAGTTAAAATCGAGCTTCAAAATTATATTCCAAACTCTGTTTCATTTGAATTTTTTGGTTCAAGCAACTTGAACTAGTCTATTAAATAGGTTCTTTGAGCATCTTTAATGCAATTTTAATTGAAGCGTCAAAGACAAATTTATGGGTTGTTTGGTTGAGAGATTCGTACCCTGATTCGAATAACGGTTCATGGTTCGTTACAGTATTTTCTCTCATAAAAAATACACGTAAATCGAAAATGATTCTAATTTCATGATTCTAATCCATGAACCAAACGTCTCCTTAATATTTCGAGTATAAAAATAATCTCTAATACAATGCAATTTGTTGTCTCAAATTTATCATATATTGTACTTAATGACAATTTTATTACTAAGTACAGCACTTGACAAATTTAACAGATTTCTATTGATTATTATATTTATTTTTTCATTTAATCATTAATATTTTCATTTTTAAGTTATTTTAAAATTAAAAATTTACTCTTATAATTTTAAAACTTAACGGCTTTGATAAAAAATTAATTTGACATTTAAAATAACATTACGTATTAAAATTCAAATAAAAATAACATGTTAAATATACTATCATCACGCTTCGAAAACTTAACGGCTTTGATAAAAAATTAATTTGACATTTAAAATAACATTACGGATTAAAATTCAAATAAAAATAACATGTTAAATATACTATCATCACGCTTCAAATGTTCATATTAATATCTGAATAATTTAACAAAACTACAACTTACAAGCAACAAAAGAAAAAAAAAAAAAAAGACAAACTTGGTTTAGGTGGGATCTTTTTAGAATTCTCTTGTTAGTCCGACTCCCAATTAAAAACTCTGAAAATTCTGAATTGTGTTTGGCGCCGTCTCCAAAATCCACCAAAATTCAATTGTGTCCCGCCACGGCCACTCGGGAAGAGGGAGATCCAAATAAAATACGAAATTCGAAAAAAAGGCCCTCTCAATTAATCCCCTCTCCATTTTCCCCATTGGAGAGAGAGAGAGAACCAGAAAGAAACTCAAGTCATCAGACCTCGATTTCTCAGATCTCTTCGCATTTCCATATACGATTCAAGCAGCCATGGCTGTTATTTCAAGCCCTAGCTCGAAAACAAAGTCCCCTGCACGGAACAAGAACGAAAGCAAAGCGACCAAGAAGAGAGCTCAGGCCGACGACAATGGCGGAGAGCAATCCAAACCCAAGCACCAGAAATCCCCCAGATTTCGTGTCGTCGGAAGCCGAATCTACGATTCCGTCAACGGCAGGAGTTGTCACCAGGTTTTTTCCTTTCTTTCTTCTTATTTTTCTTTACGATTTTATCTTTTTTTTTTGGTAGTCAATTTTCTAAATTGCCTAGGGTTTAAATGAATTTTGATGTTGATTGCTGCAGGGCCGTCAAAAAACCATAGATTTTGTGGCCTCTTGTAAGAGTAAGAATGGGGAAAAGCCTTGCACTCTTCACTTCTGTCACAAATGTCTCTTGAACAGGTTAGATTTAGCGACAAATTGATAGTTTTTAATGCAATTAAGTAATTTTCGGGATTATTTTTACCTGATATGCTTGATTTGTGCGCCATTTTGAATGTGTAAGTAGATATGGAGAGGTAGCCAAAAAAGTGGATTTGTTGGATGACTGGAAATGTCCCAAATGCAGAGGCATTTGCAATTGCAGTTGCTGCATGTAAGTGATCTGATATTGGTCTAACTTTTAGCTTTAATCGGTTCTTGTGGGCGATTCTAATTTTTTTTTTTGTTTTTCAGGAAGAAACGAGGTCATAAACCCACTGGTATTATGGTTCGTGCGGCCAAGGCAATTGGGTTTAGTTCTGCTTCAGAAATGATCCTTGCAAAGGGGCTAGAAAATTTGGTTGGTACAAACTGTTATTATTGTACATATGTGTATATATAGGCACACACATGTACATGTGTATATATTTGTGTTTTTTAGTTAGACTTTTGGTCGGAAGGATCTGCGTTCCTTGATGCTTACAAACGAATCCCACTTTTGGGAATTGACAGGAGCGTAGAGTTTCACCGAGGAAACAAGGAAAGGAAAACTCTTATGATAAAGACAATGATGCAAACTTGAATACTAGGAATTCCAAACCAATATCTGATGGTAAGAGAGAAAAAAAATCCAAGCGAGAAGGTTTAAAGGAAATAAGTAATGCCAATAAAGAAGATGGTGCGTGCTCAAACCTGAGTAGTCCTAAAAAGCCTAAAGTTCCAGAGGGTGCGTCCAAAAAGGAGTTGAAAACTGATGTAGAGGATGGTGTTGTCCCCTTAGTGAAAAAGAAATATAAGAAAAAGGTTTCAGATGAGACTTCAAGGCCTTCAGAGAAAAAAGCATATGAAAATGAAATGAAAACTGATGTAGAGGATGGCAGTGTCCCCTTAGAGAAAAAGAAGTCTAAGAAAAGGATTTCAGATGAGGCTTCAAGGGTTTCAGAGAAAACGTCTGAAAAGGAGTTGAAAACAGATGGAAAAGATGTCAATGTCCCCTTAGAGAAAAAGAAATCTAAGAAGAGGGTTTCAAACGAGACTTCAATGTGTCCTATCAAGCCATATGGTAAGAGGAGGAAGGATGGTGAGATACACAAAGATCTAGGAGTTTCAAATGCTTTAGAAGATGATAATGCTAATGCCAATGCTAAGGCTGCTGTGAAGTCTCGTGAAATCAAGAAATGTGCAATGAATCTTGAGCAGAGAGAAGTTCATGTGGACCTTCCTCTGCCTCAGGGCACAATCTTAACATCTGTATGGGGAATTGACTTATCTCCCAAGGATATGGGACTTGCGCTGCAGTTTTTTGAATTTTGTACTGTGTTCGGAAAGGTAATACTATTGTTTTTATACCAGTTGTTGAGCTGATGTTGCTTTAAATCTTTTGCAATTGGTTATTGCATTATTCCTTTTGTTGTTTTTGTGGCATGGTGATTATTGCTTATAAGAAAGCATAGAGTCTTGCATATAACATTATAGTCCTTTTTATTTGTATTTTTGCTGTGGTAAAGTGTGCATACTATATGACTAACTCTTTTTTTTTTTTTTTTTTTTAAGGTTATTGATGTCTCGAGAAATCAAGCTTCATCTGTACTTCGAGAATTAAAACGTGGATCTAGTGGGCGTCGAGGACGACAGGGACAATACTCCTCAGTAGTTCATATTCACATCCAACTCTTGTCTCTTATTCAAGAGGATAAGGGAGACAAGTACAAACTTTTTTCTATCGAGTTTCTTTTATATTTCATCCTTTTGCTTTCAGTTGAATAATATGATTTGGTAATGTTCTGTTGAATTTGTTATATGACAAACTGAATTAAAATTGTTTCTTGACTAATCAACATTTAGTTATTTCCATTGAGTTTTTTTTTTTAACACATTACCTGGAAGAAACAGTTGATTTTTTTTCTCAATGTTAATTTTAGGTCCGCCTCAATTACTAAAGAATCATGGCTTCGAGCTTTGAAGAAATACGTATCTGAGTCCAATTATGTATCAAAAGAAATGTTGCCAGCTTCATTAAACGATGATGTTAACGGATATGATGGTTTAGACTTCTCAAAGAAACTTAGACTCTTAACTTTTCTTTGTGATGAGGCTCTTGGTACAACGTAAGTTGAAGACTATTGAGGCATAGCTATTTCTATATTCCCATTTTAGACTATGATGGAAACTTTTTAATTTTTCTACCAGAAAATTGAGAAGTTGGATTGATGAGGAATATTCCAAATTTGTTGAAAGAGAGAAAGAATCAAAAGAAAAGATTGGTGCAGCAAAGAGTAAGGTAATAAGCAAAAAAAGCCAAAGATCATGAATAGCTGAATGTAACATTCTTTTTATCTTAAATAAGTCTATAATTCCGAGTCATTTTTACTTGACAGGAGAAACTTCTCAAGCAGAAGTTGGAGGATGAGGTTGTGAAAGCTATTATTGCGAGAAATGGTGCCCCCATCTCAATTTCAGACCATGAAGCTCTTATTTCACAGTTTAAAAGTGATGTGGCGCAAGTTCATGCTGAGATGCTCGAGGCACAAGGAGTTGTTTCTAAGAGTAAGTTCTAATGTCTGATATTTTCTCTTTATAAGAATTCTCACAGCAAATTGTTTATTTGCTTCTGATGAAGAAGTTGACCAATTTCACTAGTCTAAGAAAATTAGCCTTGAAGAATCATGTTTCATGATTCCAAATTGCTTTTGTTTGGTGACTTCGGTCATCGGTTATGAATCTAATTGCTCAGTTTTTTTATTCCCTCGTCAACTATCCATGTTATACATGCTTGATAATTCTTGTATCATATTGTAGGAAGGCCAAGACTTGATGCTATGAGAATAGAGCCTTATCTTTTGGATGCCGAGGGTCGTGTTTTTTGGAACTTAAGATGTTGTGGCGGTAATGAGCTGTTACTTCAAGGTTAGTTTTATCTGCCAAACGAAACTTCCTTTTCGAGGATCCTATCTGAGTTTGCATTTATCATTTTTCTACTGTACAGATATGGGGACCTGGGATGTGAATGCATCAGCTGAAAAGTGGACTATCTATGAACGGAAAGAAGATATTGAGGAATACATTTCTTCAGTAAGGTAAAGAAATATGCTTAGCAGTGAAAAAGAATAGGCATATCATTATTTAACGATGTATTAACCATTTCATCATTACGTTTGCATTCTGTATTTGGTTTTGCAGGGCAAAAAGGATAAGGAGTTGTAAAATTGCTCCTGCTTAATTAGTGCAAGTGATGTAGAAGAATTATATTGATTCTTTGGATATTTCACCACTTTAGGCCATATAATTGGGGTAATTTTACATTTGCTCAAATTATATATACATATATAAATATTTATATATATGTATGTATCTATGTGTATTTGTTTTCAAGCATTAAAGCCAAACCAACTTCAAATTTTCAATGGAGTACTTAAGGGTTGGGTTTAGTCGTCCTTGGCTTTACCTAAATTCATTAAAAAATAACTCAGTTGCTTCTCAATTGATGTGGAAATGCATCTGATCAGAACAGCTTTGCAGTTATGATTTATAGCAGTAAACATGCGATCAAAGAATAAATAATGACAATAAGGGTAAAACTAATTCCTTTGTTGTTTCTGCATGGCATTGACAGGCTATATGGGGAGTCAATTGCTGTACTTCCTTCAGGTGCGCTTTTTTCGCTGCATCATTGATAACATAAACGTGAAAGTGTCCAGAGAATTTATCTCCTACTGTATATTTTTGACAGCATCGCTTGTTGTATGAGGCCGGATGATTTTAAATTTGAGAGGCAGAATGTACCAGGAATGGATTTAACCCTTAACAGTTGTTTAGCATGTCAGCTATATAGTACTTTGCTCACTTTCGATTTGTTTTTTGTCTTTTTTTTTGAATCTTTGTTGAAAATGTGGGATATAGCATCGCTTATTATGGACTATGTAATACCTTGTATAACAGTGAAAAAAATTGGCAAGGCTTTAATGTTTGTTGGAAATGTGGAATGGAGCATTGCTATGTGCATTCTCAGGTACTTGTAACGAGCAATTTGAGCTCATTTTCTTACCAGGCGATGTTCTTGAAGCTTGGTATTGAGAGCATGCTAGAGACCACTAGGTAGTGAGTAATCATCTTCCGCTTTTATTGTTATTATTAAGGTCTTGTTTATTTCATTGATTTGAGTTTTTAGTTTTAGGTTTTAACAGTAAAAAACTTTCAGAAAATGTCATATTTAACTTTTTTTGCTACAGTGAAAAGTTCTCAGAAAATGTTACATCTCAATTCAAATTGAAAACTTGAATTTGTGAAGTGAACGAGACATAAATGATTGTTGATTTGTCATGTTTGTTGAGGAAAAATGGCTAAACGACATGTAATTTCTGTGTAAAACGACATCACATTTTTAAACTACAAACTGTCTTAATTCATTAACTTAAAATGATGTGGCTTTTCGTTACGGGGCGGCAAATTTTGAGATGTTAACGACACGCTGTTATGAAAAATGACAGCAAATTTTTATACAATAATGATCCGTCGTTTCAATGTAAACGACAATAAGCTTTAAACAAAAAAAAACGGCGGTAACTTTCAATACACGACATGTCGTCTTTTGCTTAAAATGTCTAACAAACTGCACGGTAACAACATGTCGGTTTTCATGTCGTTTGGATTTTGATTTTTTTTTGGAAAGGGTCGTTTGGAACTGTGGATATAAATGACAAACACAAATTCCATTTTTCTCATTGCTTAAGTCTCCTGACGTCCTTAAAAAAAAAAAAAAAGTCTCTTGACGTAACCTTCTAAAATTACATGTATGATTGTGTGTAATATAATTATAAGTTTCGTTTATTTTATCGATTTGAGTTTTTAATTTTAGATTTTTATAGTTAAAACTTTTAGAAAATGTCATATTTAATTTTTTTTATTATAGTTAAAAACTTTAAGAAAATATTACATCTCAATTCGAATTAAAAACTCGAATCCGCAAAATAAATGAGATTATAGTAATTTGCGAAGCCCCAAAAAAGTGGTAATTTGAGAGGAAAAAACAACTAAACCTACGTGGGTGTAAATAGTATTTTGAGAAGCAAGTTTGCCCTTTAAAAAAGATTAATTTTTAAAATTTTTGAGCGGTGAAATAGTAATAAATAAAGAAAAGGGATAAAAGGAGACACGTAAGCGGAGATTTTGGCGGTTGAGAAGAGCCGGTAGTCTTGGCAGTTGCTTTTCTTCTCACACACAAACACACTTCTTCAACTCCACACTTTGCTTTTGCTCTCCCTTTGCTCGATCGAAAGAGAAGCTCAAATGGCGATAGGAGCAACGGCGCCACTGGCGAGAGGAAGTTTAGTATGTTCTCAGTCTCACCATAAGTTCTTGGGCTCCTCTTACAACCACCACACCTTTCTCTCCCTCCATCCTCCTCGTCCCTCCCACCACAACCCCGTTCGGTCCAGGCCCAACACCACTTTCCTCATCCATTTCGAGCCCATTGGGCCTTGGCCCACCCCCAGGCACCTTTCGGACCTCTTGCCGGCGACCCCTAGAGCCGCCGATTCCACTTCCTCCGTCTCCTCCTCCGCCGCCGACAAAACCCTCGTCCCCGACGATCAGTTCTCTCTCGCCAAGGTATTTCATGAATAAAAAAGAAGACAAAGAAAAAGAAAAATATCACTTTTAAGAAATTTTTTTTTTTAAATTTGTGTGAGCTGAAATTTTGCAGGTTTCGTTTGGTGTGATTGGACTTACTGTTGGGATTTCGCTCTTGGGGTGAGTTCTCTTTGCTCTGGTTGTTCTTCCTAATAGTTTCGAAGATCTTGTGTTAATTTTTACCTTGTTTTTTATTTTTTTTTTGTTTTTTGTGTGGAATTTGTAGATATGGTTTCGGAGCGTATTTCAATGTCCTTCCTGGTTCTGAATGGTCGGCTTTGATGCTCACATATGGCTTCCCTCTTGCAATTATTGGTATGGCTCTCAAGGTAATAGCTTCCTTTTTCCTCTTATTTTGTTTCCTTTTTATTGATTTTTTTTTTAATTTTAATTTTTGCAATAGTCGTATAGTGTTTAAATCATGTGATTTCACATGGTTTTAGTCTCTTTCTATAAACAAGTTCGTACTCCAGATTTTTACAGTCATTATTGATTTGGAGACATTCTGCAACGTTGCTAAATTTAGGAGGTAATCTGTGAAAATTAAAAGTTCAGGGGTAACTTGTCAATTATAAAAGTTCACCACACTTTGTTTTTTTTTTAAGACCTGCTTGTTTTGTGGCACCATTTGTGTAATGATGCGGATTATTATTATTTTTATATATTTGTTTCATGCTCATAATGTCACATATGTGGAGCAAAGCATACAAGTGTTTGTCCAGTTACTTGCTGTGGAGGCTTGTAACTTCACTATTGGATACCTATGGTTACATTTAATTATGATGGCAAAAAAATGAGGTTTTGTTTGGAACTAATTGAGTTAATTTCATGAAAGAAAAAATAAAGGGAAAATGAATAGATGACTGACATGTTAGCAGGCGTGATCTGAAATTTTTTTTGGCATGGCCCTAAGCGATGTCTTGTGACTTGAAATTTATCAGCATACGACATAATTTGCCTTTTGATGTCTTGCAGTATGCAGAACTCAAACCAGTACCATGCTTGACTTATTCAGACGCTTTACCGTTGAGGGAAACATATGCCACTCCAATTCTTAAGCAGGTAATTTTGTTGAAGTATTCATCCTTATGATCTATTTATAGGTTTCAGCATAATTTTTAATGGTTATAATATGCTATTTTTATTTTTGTTTCGAAAATTTCAAGTTAATTAGGTTGTTTTCTTTTCTAACCAAATGCTTTTCTAGAAGTTTTTTATGTTCACCCAATGATTGGGTCTTTTTTAGTCTGTTTCTCTTTCTTTCTTTCATTTTTTTTTTTTTTGGAAAATGCTGCTAGCTTTTATGTCATTTCTATGGTCAATAGAATATCCTCAGGAAATCACTTAGGCTTGTTATTCGTTCTAATGACTGAAGAACATACTTATAAAACCCAAGGAAAACCATAGTGTGTACAAAGGTTTGTCTTTGGTTGTTGGTTGGTGATGCAATTTCAGAGTTTTCTGTTAAGAATAAAAATAAGAAAACGGGGATTTTTTTTTTTTTTTTTAAAGTAATTCTGGTAGATTGTTTATATCATCATTTTAGTACTATTTTCTTGATCCTTAAGTTTTCAGTTCTCTTCTGTTATTGTTATTTGACGTTCAATGGAATGTTATTTCATTTCCTTAAATCTTATTTTCCATTTGAAATGTACTCGGAAGAAAAACTTTTTATAATGTACCCTCTCCCTCTCTTTTTTCTCCTCTGTTTTAGATCACCACAACGAATTAAGTCCCAATGAACATATTTTCTGGGACGATGGATAAGGGTGATAATTCGTGTTACGTGTCGTGTTTTGATTGTTTCTTTCTAAATTTACAGTCAACCTAAACACGACCCGTGACAAGAAATTTTTTAAAAACCGTAACACGAACACGACACGACACAAAAATGACCGGTGACACGAAATTGACCCGTGAACCTGAAATTGACATGATAATTGTATGCTTTTATTTAGTTTTTTACATATTAGAAATAACTTAAAATTCATAACACACTAAAATACAATAACATCCATTAAAATTAAGCAAATAATAATATAAGATTTTGAGTATAACTATCATGATATTACAAGTTCATAATAAAATAAAAAATATGTAATGAAAAATATATGTATTTTTTAGTTTTTTACGAGTTTTGTGTCGTGTTCGGGTTAGGCGGGGTCTAACCCGAAATTGACCCGTGTTTTTCGTGTCAATTTTAGGTCGACCCAATTCTGACCCGAACATCTTTTTTCTCAACCCTAACCTGCGAAATTCGTGTCATTTTTGAGTCGTGTTGTCGTGTCGTGACCCATATTGCCGACCCTAACGATGGGCATATAGCTTTCATGCAGAATATTTAACCATCATTCCGCCGTTCTCATACTTAAAGCACGGCACTTGTTGAGCTTTTTCTGCCATCACTAATAGACAACTTAACTTGTTCGACATGAAAGATGCTTATTGTACAGTGGATAGCTTTTTCCAATTAATTTAACCTAGGGAATGACAATATTTTTGGTTAGGTCAGGAATGATGTAATCAGATATCGCTACGGGGATGAACAGCATTTGGATGAGGCATTAAAACGGATATTCCAGTATGGTCAGGTATACTTTTCAAATTCAGACTGCCTGATATGCTTATTTTTATAATCTATCAAACTTGTCTACATAATCTGCCTTGTAGCCGGTAACTGACAAAATTTTGCCAAAAGGAATGAAATGAAAAATCCTCACTTTAATCATCTCAAATTCTTTAAGAGAAATCAATATTAACTTACAAGCAGATTGCTTTAAATCCACTTTTGGTTCTTTTTTTAAGGAAAAACTTGAAATTCTTGGCTCCAAATCCACAACACAACTCAAGAAATTAGCACTACCTTAATGATATTTATGTGCTAATTCTTTTTACGTGTTCCACTTTTCAGGGTGGAGGAATTCCGCGGAGGAGTGCACCCATTCTACAAATGATTCGTGAAGAAGTATGCTTTTCCCACTTGGTTTTAGTTTCAACATAAAAATGTTCACTCACTTCAGGCATAAAAACCTTAAAGTGTCTTTAATGTCACGGAAGAAAACTTCCCCACTCAACCAATGCATGGTGTATTTCAAATTCTGAATCTTTGATGCAAATGAAAGAAAGGACTATACTGTCTCCTCACATGCAAGAACAGACTGATTAATAACTGTAAATGATTGCATTTCGTAGAAAGTCTGTAATACTGTGAACCCTCTAGATTTCATCCCAAGTGACAGCTTGTTGTTGGTTGTAGTTCTGATGTGCGTACAAGCGTCTGTACTTTATTCAATGATTTGAGATGTCCCGACAGATACCATGCTTGATGAGTTGTCAACTTTCAATCTGCTCGTCATTATTGTTCCTTCAGTTTCTACTGCCTCATCTTGCTACTTGTATCAGGTCACGGAAGGTGGTAAATACAGTCTAGTCCTGGTGTTTGAGGCAAAAGCTTTGGAGTTGTCAGATTTTGAACTGAGACAGGTAAACATATAATTATACGACCCTACAAAACTCAGCCTTTTCAAGTGTTCATAACCACTTTTATGTATAATACACGAAGCCATGAAGATCATGTTCAAACACTTTTTTTTGGATGGTTTATTGAGCTAATTGACTTTTTAAGACTTGAATATTTAAGGGTGTTCTTTTCATAAGTTTAACAGAAAATTTGAACAAATTTTTATCAGAGAAAACACTATAGCAGAAAGGTTAAATGATTCAAACCTTTTGAAAAGGACGGGGATTGTAGTTGTTTATTCTGAGAATGGTGTGAAAAATTAACAAGCATACTGATTTTTAAGCTCAAATGCGTTCCAGGCTAAATTTGCTTCGTTCTTTGGACCGGGAATTACAGCTGAAGTTGGTGAGTTTATTCTTTACTAGCGTCAACAAGCAGAAATATATTCCATTTCTAGAAGAAAATCCTTAATTAACACCACCATATTAGACGCTTAGAAAGCATGTTTGTCTAGAAAATTGTTTGTTTATGTATTTATTTGAGAGTAATGGTGATAAATTGTTCATTGCAGCTAAGGGAGAGAAGGATCTTTATGAAGTCCGACTCATCTCCAATGCCGACTCCAACACATCATCTTCGTAACATGTATAATATATGTTCATAGTTTGGTCCCACTGGCTATACAAGCTATAATCTGTTGTAAAGTTTATGCTGAGATTTAGTTGGCAAAATATTAAAAGATAAAATTATGTATACAGATTTTGACGAGAAAGATATGCACAGTTGCAAATTAACCTTGATTTTTCTCCTTACAATGTTTTGGATATTGGCTTAGAACCCTGACTAACATTATATATATATATATATAGAGTTAATTATTAAAAAAAAAAAGTTAAAGAGTTAAGTAAGGAAGTCTATATATATATATATATAGAGAGAGAGAGAGAGAGTTAATTATCCAAAAAAAAAAAGTTAAAGAGTTAAGTAAGGAAGTCTACATCAATATCTATATATCTTGATCAATGAGGCTGATTTTATGTGAGAGAGAGAGAGTCATTGAAATTTGTCAGTATTAGGCTATAATGCAGGGAGAAAAAAAAAAGGGTAGAGGGAAAACTATGGTGAAGCATGCTTCATTTTGAGGTCAATCTTTTCGTTAGAAATTAACTAAGTAAACATTACATATATATATATATATATATTTTTTTTTTTTTCAGAACATAATTATGAGGAAATTTTCCTTGCTTCCTCGTGAGTTTGAGATTTTAGTTGTAGAGCTTCAGTTTACCAGGATGTTCGTTTTGAAATTTTAACATGGGACCGTTTCTCTGGTAAAGGGGAAGGTGAGAACATTTGGTGAAGAAACTCTCTAAACAAATAGCACCCAGAATGGGGGAAAAAAAAAAGAAGAAGAAGAGTAATAGCTAGAAATGAGAATTATATGGTTGGGTATGAAAAGATAGCCTATTGATAACGGTTAAAGACCAAACTTTTATAAAAATTAAACGGTTAAAAACCGTGTCAATAGAATTTTCATATGAATTAATCTTATCATTAGTTTTTCTTTCACAAAAATAGTATTCATTCTTATCGGAATAAACTTTCACCATTCACAAAATGGTGGATTTCAGTAGCTTGGGAACCTACCACTTAACGGGATTCATATCTTGTGAGTAACCCCCGTTAGAATGAATAAGAGTGCTCTGCCTTTCGAGAAGATTTTGCAGAGCTATTGGCGAGATAACATCAGTAGTGAACCTCAAATATATCCCTAAAAAATGGGCTCCACAAGTAACCAGCTAAGGTTCTGTACAATCTACCAAAAAAAGCTGCTGTCACTGTTAACCGTGTTTGGAATTGTTTTCGTCAGCATCTATTTTCTCTGTTTAGCGCTAACAAAAATTCCAAAATGTTCAACTGTGGGGGAAGAGAGAGAGAGAGAGAGTGAGAGAGAGAAAAAAAAAAGGAAAGAGAGCCGATGCAACAAATAAAAAGCATGCACGTGAATTCCCAAGTGTCAGCCAAATTTTCACCAACAGAAGAATAAAACATAAACGTCAGTGGGCACTACTGCATCAAAGAAAAATCAGAAAAAACCAAACAATCATAGACCCCATCTCTCCATGATTGTTCTCCCAAAATATTTTTCTTTCTTTTTACCAGCCCTTCAAAATCCCTGTTGTGAGAGAGAGAGAGAGAGAGAGAGAAGGAAAGAGAATCTCTCTCCAAACTACTCTAATTGTGCTTTTAGCAGTACCCTTTATTTAGATTAATAGGAATAAAGAAGAAGTGGTTCTTTCTCGGTTTGTGTTTCTCTCTTTGCCTTTTACTCATCCATGACAAGCACCCACCATGTCTGTTCTTTTGCTTATCATCTTTTCCCTTAATTGTCTTTTCCTCTTCTCTTCTTGTTTCTTCTTCCTCTTCCTCTCTTGTTTCTTTCACTTTCACCTGCACTTAATGCAAAAGCCCACATCATTATACTTGATTTGTGTTTGAGATCATCATATCATCAATAATCACATTTGACGTTAAGTTCCTATTGTTGTAAGGATACAAAATGCCATGCATTATAATGTTAGTACTTATAATAAGTGCTTAAAACAACTAAAAACACTTTAAAGATTGTCCATCTAAACATGTTTAAAAGTTGCTTTGGACTAAATAAGTTAAAAACAGTTTTTTTTTTTTTTTTCTGAGATCATCATATCATCAATAATCACATTTGACGTTAAGTTCCTATTGTTGTAAGGATACAAAATGCCATGCATTATAATGTTTTAAGTACTTATAATAAGTGCTTAAAACAACTAAAAACACTTTTAAGATTGTCCATCTAAACATGTTTAAAAGTTGTTTTGGACTAAATAAGTTAAAAACAGTTTTTTTTTTTTTTTTAAACCCGTTGAAGCACTTTTATTGCCTAAACAGACTTCTCTTTCCTGCAATAAATGGAGGGAGACCTTCAAAAAAAAAAAAAAATAAATAAATGGAGGGAGAGAGCAACACTCTTATATAGTTAGTCCGTACATTTTTAATTTCCTAACCTACTAAAAAACGGAGCTTCGTAGAGTAGGCTATATCCTAGTGTAGTCATGGTGAACATTTATGAATGTTAAATTTGTTTTAAATCACATGAAACGAAAAAACCAGCAAAATTGACAGAACTTAATACAAATCTGATAGCTCTAAACAGAGGACCATAAAATTCTCAAAAAAAAAAAAAAAAAAGCAAAGATCAGTATGGGAAACGTTCAAAAACATGTTGCCTACTTTTAATAATAACTATCAAGTCACAACATCTTCTGTGTGCAAAAATAAATAAATAAATAAAATAGAGACGTTAACCTAAACTTTGTAGTACATTACAAATTGCCAATGTAGCTAGCATCAAAGGTACAATGGCGCGTGGCCTTTTTAAGATTTTCAATAACGATGCAAGGAAATTGCGTTTGAGAAAGCACAAAATCATTTTTGTGATCAGCCCCTGAAACACATGACCGTCTTTTCCAAAAAAGAGAAAGGAAAGAGAGCAGTGTAATGGCATTTTCAACGAGAGCCCCAAGAAACTAAAAGTGGGAAAAGAGAAGTAAAAAGGAAAAGTCATCAAGTGGTCTTGTTAGCATTTTTATCACAAGAATCTTACGAAAATACAAAAAGAAGAGGTTAGAGAAAAAAAAAAAAAAACACCCATGAGAAGGTAATAAATGTACTGGAGAAATAAAAGGGTGTCTAAATTTATGATTGATTTTGGAAATTGTTTTCTTTCTGAATCTTGTTATGAAGCTTCCAAAAGGGTTCATGATCCGGGTTTTCAGGTTGGGGTTTTTTTTTTTTTTTTTTTCTCTTACAGAAAAAAAAAGTCACTTGGTAACTCAGACAAGAACAATTGTAAATATGTACTGAAAAATCAGACTTCTTAGGGGAATTACATATAAGAAAGGGAAGCAAAGCAAAAGAAGGATGTGACAACCATAACTAGAGGGACCAATTTAGTGTTTGTAAGTCCCTGGCCTAGGAAGGTATGGGTTTAGATTTTTTTTTTTTTTTTTTTTTTTCCTAATCGGCATGGGTTTAGTTATAGTACACTAGTTCCTCTTTGATTGTCTCATCTGAAGAAAGAAAGTAGAAACCACTCGTTTAGAAATACTAGTCCTAGTTACTATCCGATCCATGCATAGGAAAAAAAGTCTTAACCAAGTTTGTGACATGTATAGTTGTTCTCTGTTTCTTACTTTTGCCCTTCTGTTATTTTGGGTGTATTTAATTTAATTTTATTTCATTTTTTTTCGAGGAAGTTATATTGTGTGTATTAATCCTAAGCATAAAATTCATCCAAAAGTCTTTGATTTTTGAATTATGCGGTATTAAGGTACAAAAAAGTTTTAGCGCTAGGATGTGATTTTTAACTGTTTGATTGCATCAATTTATATTGGCTGCTAATGATGTGATTGTTCAGCCATATTATCGGCTAATTGGAGAACTTTGAAAACCACTAAACCCATTATCACTCAACACTTACTGAAACCCAAAAGAAAAAAAAATTTTAAGGAAAAAAAAAAAGAGCTAAGGCGATTTTACACACTTAGAACTCTCTATCTCTCTCTCTGGGAAACACACAATGATGCATAGCTTAATTAAAAAAAAAAAATCTACAACAAACAACTTACCTGTTCTTCAAATAGTAATTTTGCATTTGAATTAGGAGAATCTCCACCTTCAACCTCACAACGATTCAACGATCTCTCTGTAATGGGTGGTGTCGAAGCAGGGCTAAGACTGCTCGAGCTTAGCTCAGGCGGCGTGCTTTGAGTTCCCACGTCCCTTTTCATGCCTTCCATTCTCTTTTCTGCAAAGAAAAATATAAATAAATAAAAAATTAAACAACAAAAAATCAGTCATAACAATTCAAACACAGAAAAAAAAAGAGTAATAGGAAATATATAAAACCTGGAATTGGAAAGTGATACTGAAGCATGTCTTGTTGTTGCTGCTGCTGTTGTTGTTGTTGTTGTTGTTGTTGTTGTTGTTGTGGTGTATTAGAAAAAGGCTTTGTTTGGATTTGGCGAGAGTAGTGGGAATTATTGTTGTAAATGAGAGGAGCCGACATTGTTATTCTGTTAGTCAAGTTTCGAAACGATCTTCCACTTAGAGTTTTAGCAGACAAGCACTCCATTGGAAACTCTCCCGACAGAGGATTGCATATGTACTTCTCTGCTTCGTTCCACTTTGAATTCAAAGCAAACCCATCTGGCGATAAGCATTCCCAACAATTATATGCCGCTCTCGCCTGCAATGCTGCCCAAGAAAACAACACCCATTACACTTAAAACACCAAAAAATTTTCCCAAGTAGAAAAGAGAGAGAGAGAGAGAGAGAAAAGTTGTTACCTTGGAGAGCAGTGGTGAATGAGTATGTAGAAGGGTCGATCTCATCTGCGGAAAATATGGAAGGAATTTGAGGTAAAATTGAAATTGCGAAACTGGGTTTTGAGTGGAAATTTATGACAAATTACCTCTTAAGGAGTAACCAGGGGAAGAAGCAGTGCTGGATATGGTGATGTTTGATCTGAAAGATCTTGTGTCTTCTCTGAAACTTCTAATGTATGAAGCAGAGAACCTTCTTGAGTTGGTGTTTTCGCGGCTAATATTTCTGGCCTTAAGACCCCATTCTCTCAAGTTGAAATCTGTCTCTTCTCTTCTCCGAGAAGTAGAATTATGTGGAGAAGAAGATTGTTCCATAATTAGTGAAGAAGCTCATGCAAAACCAAACATATAAATTCCATTTTTTCTTCTGCAGGACAATGTGGTTCAGTTTTATGTAATGAGAGAATCTAAATTCTGCAAGGACTTGGACGCCACATAGGAAAACTGTGTTTGCGGTTTGTTGTTTTATAAAATTTTATTTTATTGGGTTCCCTTTTATATATATTTGAAGGTCAAGATGGGAAATCAAAATGAGAAAATACCCAAAGACATAATAATAGTGGGAAAAGAACTAGAGTTTCCTAAAGGGAGAAACGAGAATGAAAGGTTGAACTGAAGAGGGGTTAAATTTGTTAGTTGTGTTTTTGGTGATGCTGTAATTGGAAAATTTTGATCTGGGGGGTTGGTATTTCTTTTGCATCATTTACTTGTGGTGGTATTCGAATTTTGCAATGTTGTTTTGATCCCAAGAGGAATAAAAAAAAGATATGCACAAAAAGAGGGGAAAAATAAATAAAAGGAAAAAAATATCATGCATCAGATTAAGATATGATTTTGACTCTCCACCCATGCATAGGGACAGAAGGGTGCACATTATTTTAGTAGTTTCTAATAAAAAAACTTACATAGGAAGTTCAATTGGATGAATTTTGGAACTTTGGTCTTGCAAGAATCTTACGTGATTAAAAACTGATAATTTAAAACTTACAAGTTTTTCAGATGATTCCAAGATCAAGCTTTTGTCTAAATGATTAGTGTTTGAAACCACTCGGTTTGGCTAATATTTGAAGGTTTCTGCATTATTCATTAATTTACTTACAGTTGGGCTGAGACAATTAGTTAGTGATATAAATGACCATCCGATTTACGGGACAGTGGGCACAAAAGTTGTTGTAGCATTGCCTAGAAAAAGGCCAACACCAGCCACCAATAGTACCATGAATTTAAATCTCATGTTATAAAATTGTGCAACCAAGAACCAACCTTGAGGATGGAATATCTTGATGTGTGTATAAACTGACTCTCTTGTGGGTTAACGTTTTTAATGAACTTGGTCGAAATGTATGGATTAATTTTCTGAAAATGTAAATAAAGCTTTCGCAATCATGATGGCCAAATGTCTCTATTTGTAGTTGTGAGAATCATGGGATAACTTATTTATTTATTTCTTGTTGGTTTGGGGGTTGAAATCGTGGGATAACTTGGTAAAGCAATTAAGTGGTGCATGTGCTTCTCTTGATGATACCTTGTCGTTTGATGACCTTGAAATGAATAAACTTGCAGAGAATTGTCAATGGTTTGTACTTTGTATACAAATATCAAGTGGAAGGCACAATCTGCAAAAAAAAATTTATGTCCCAAGCAATTTCCAAGAGATTAAAAACCAAGCAAACTGATGTAATTAGTACAAAGCTAGATTCTTTGAGCATTTGTTGGACAGTTGCAGCCACGAGATATTGAAAAGCAGTTTTAGCAAAAAAAGAAAAAAAAAAAAAAAAAAAGATGATGATTTTTGAATTTAAAAGATCTCACAAGTATTTTTTGTTTTTCCCTCCTCTTGGACTTGTGGAGCTTAGGGCCAAAACAAAATTGCCATATGGCAAAACCCAATGGTAATGAGCCCGTATGATTTATTTATCACTCTTGGTTAAAAAGTAAAAGGATATGGTTTCTTAACAAGTTGATCTAGTAGATATCCACGTTAGGTTGTTTTCAGTGTGGGTTGGATGGGAAGGGAAGGGAAGGGAAAAGAGTGGATAGGAAGAAACTTGGGGGAGGGCTGAGAGTCTGTGTGGTTGTCATCATCTTGATGAAAAGGAAAGGTTTAGGGCTAGGTGGGGGTCCTCTTGTTATGGAACCAGGTGGGCTCCACCCCACAAGCTCATCATGGCCGTCTGCTTTGTCTGATGTTTATGCAAGGTAGGTTTCATGAAAGGGAGAGGTTCTCCGCCCTGTCTGTCTGGGTCCATCTGCTTCATTTAATCTCTAAAGTTTTTTTCCCCTTCTTTTTCTTTAGTATTATATTACATTTCAAAGAATATCTATTTTGCAGCTCAAAGATACACTTCCCAACAGTTCTTGTTTTATGTACTGATTTTTAAGTATTATATTGAACTGTAGTTTGTTGATTCTTTAGTCTCTACAATGCATTATGCACTCCCTTTATTTATGGATGAGTTTAGATAATTTATATACATCAGCTTCAGTTACTGATTACCTTCTCTCATGGAAATAGATAATCGGACAAACAAATTTGCAAAGATATCTAGGAAAGTGGAATCATACAGCTAATGTTCTGTCATTATGCTAGAGGTACCAGACAGACAACATTATAAATTACGAGCTCAGTAAATGTTTCTGTGAACGGCTACCTCCTAAGTCTACTGTCTGAGATTATGAAACTTATCATTCATGCAATACATACGTTAAAGGTTTCCAGATGTCTCAAATTTTCAGCACCATCAAAACTTAAAAACAGCATCTTGCACGCCTCTTATTATCAACTTCAGCTGAATTGCTGATTCATCCTTCCGGCTAGCAACATTCGAAATTCAAACATGCATGCAACGATGGGCGAAGACAGATGAACCAACAGGCAACACGTTCAGATATTCGCAGCGTAATAGAGATTATGTTTGTTTACTCGGGTTTTACGGTGACGAACACATTCCTCCAAGACAAGCAACATCCAACAGGTCCCCAATTCTATTACCTGAAATTTAGAAGGGAAAGATTAAACAAAGAAGAGACGGCCCCGAAAAATGAATGGTGAAAATCAATATGCTGTCTAAAATGATTATTTTACTAAATTTGGCTAATAAAGTTCGAATAAGATTTTGCTTCAATGAACTATATACCTCCAAGAGCTCAGTGTTCTCAACAGCCTTTTCACTATCAAATTTATGAGGAAACTGTAGCTCATAGACTAGGCAATATAAAAGCATAGGAACCTAACAACCAGGAACAGATGAGGGAAACCTGAAAATAACACGACAAAATGAGTTTAAGTACAAACTAGGTTGGTGGAGCACTATCATGTGTTGCAAAATGCGAGGAATAATTCAAATGCTTACACTTCGAAGAGAACAGCCATAAAGGCTCTGCCAAACTGCAATGAATCATCTAGTGTGGCCTCATCTTAGAATCCTAACAGAAGTAAAAAAACAATATCTGACAAATTAAAAATTAGCCCATATCATCAGCTGAAAAGATATATACAAAGGGTAGAAATGTAAGAATCTTCTCACCAGTGAAAATGAGATAATAGCTGAGCAACATTTTAGGAAACCGCATATGCGTATAAACTACCTGTTCAACAGTGAAACACAAAAAGATCTTTAAAATGGGAGAAAAAGCATGTGGCATAGAGATGAACTTAATATAATGATACTACATTAGTAAAAAAAAACTGTTATGATATTTCATTCAGCAAAGGAAAAAAAGGGTATAAAATTCAGTTAACTAAATTGCTTATATCATAGGACATAAATGTCCGGCAAACAAGATCAATAATAAATCAATTTTAAACCGTATAGAATAGCTAGTAAATCTAAAAATATTATTAGAACATTCCACAAACAGATACAAATTCTTACTCATATCCCTTTTTTAATTTCCTTTCTTCTAGTTGGTGGGCTGGGTGGTGCTCTTGATTAATTAAAGAAAAACTTTTAAAAATCGAATCAGATACAGAATAACATTGGTCGAAGAAAACCACATAATACATATATTACCTTGTCCAAGAATCAAAATAGCATTTGAAGCCAAAGGAATAACATCTTCAATCTTTTCACTAGCGAAAATTGCTTGAATAACTAGCAAATAAGACGGAGACAAATAAGCTAAAGAAATAGAAAGTAGCAACGAGTAAACATACAGGTTTCATTTGAATGGTACTTTGAACAATTACATAAACTTGACTATTCAATGAATTTAGCCAGTAAAATAGGTGACTATGAAAACCTGAGATCTGCATCAGCTTTTCCTCATTCTCAGTCCTATCATTTTCACTGACCGCAGCCACAATGTCAGATGCTGCTACCACATGCAAAGAATGGTGACCATCTGATAGCCATACGGTTTGCGTTCCTGCAAAGTGGTGGCAAGTAACCTTTAGTTACAGAGTCTGGAAGCAGTGCCATAGTGACGAGACAGCTCATGGTTGAAGTTAAGGTCAAAAAGCATGCAAATAAAGATTCAGATAAGCTACCATGACATGAGTATCACTAGTATCATTTTGAGTAAACCAATCCTTTGCTTTCTATCTCCTTCCAAGATGACCAAATGGCCAACTACGAAGAACATGCTATTCCTACACTGACCAGTTAACTGGTGGCTTACCCAGTTTCAGTAACCTATATACATGACAACGTGCAATAATATAGCACAAGACTTCTGGTCTTCACCATTTATATATCCAAAAATGCAGATTTTTTTTTTTTTTTTTGGTTGCTGAAGAAAAGAAAAGAAAAGCAAAAATGTGGATTAACTGAAGGGGAGAAGCATACTAATGGAGCTATAGACACGACAACTTTGCAGTTTCAGCAAGCTATATACATGACAACGTGCAGTTACATAGCACAAGACTTCTGGTCTTCACCATTTAGATATCCAAAAATGCAGTTTTTTTTGTTTTTTTGTTTTTTTGTTTTTTTTTGTTTTTTTGCTGAAGAAAGGAAAAGCAAAATTGTAGATTAACTGAAGGGGAGACGCATACTAATGGAGCTATCAGCAAGAACTGCCAGCTTTTGCACATTTGTAACTTGAGGCAACTGTCGGATGTGAGGGGTCATGTCTGATCCAGTTACACGGTTGAACCAGCACAAAAGGTGTAGATTCCCAGCTGAGTCCAATATTAGAAACTTTTTTGGGGACAATGCTTGAATAGAAATTGCCTTCACGGATGTTATCACCCTTGACTTTGATGCCTCAACATCCTTGCCACTAAATGCCAGAAAACATGCTCCCGCCTCAGAGGAATCTTGCCTTAATCTTACAGCCCTCTGTTTTACTGCATGTTCAACTACTTGATTAGCAACATGAGCAAAATTAACAATATTATCTAATGAATCCCATAACTAATAAATAATGTAAGGGTCTTCTGGCTAGACACAGAGAAAGGTAATTTGCAAATATAACAATAATAGAATATCTTTGAAAACCTACAAATACGTAGACATTAACTTATAAACCAATTAAGGATCTCACTTTCATATCAGGAGAAGAAAAGGCAGTTCCTAATTAAAGCTCTTTTTCTAACAATCAGTAATTTACCATCTAGAGGCATCCTTATGAAATTAACCAAAGGACAGCGCCTTGCTTAATACGAGTAGCACCCATGTCCTGGTCAAAAGAATACCTATAAGAGAATTGTCAATGGAAATTACAAACAAAAACAAAAACATAAATCTGTTAAACTATCTCGGAACAGGTCTGACTACAGCATTCAGTTAACCAAAAGAGGAAGCAACAAGCTACAACAGATTTAATGCTAATTTACAAGCATATGTATCAGTTCACGACCATGAGGTGCAGTTGCCAATTTCTCTTTTCTTTTCCTCATTTTCCCCCTTCTCCAAAAGCAACTTTATCTATATATTAATTTTCTTTTTCAGATAAAAAATTCTAAAGGTAAGACCATAATAAATTGATGTTGCACGCTCTCGAGCAGTTTTATCAGATGCAATTATGCATCCAAAACGTTGGATTTATAAGAGGTCAAAAAGACATGGCAATATGAACTAGTTGACCAACATGGACAGTTCATTAATACTAGTTTACGAACATATAGGACGCACAAACATGTCAAACATGAACAAGTTAAAAATATACTTTCACTTTCCAAAATGCATATTATTTTGAAGTAAAGAATGTCATCTGAAAACTAATGATAGCACAAATGCGTAACAGGTCAAACCATGGTCAATCAACTATGACTTGGGCAAGTTTTCAGGATCTATGGCTGCACTGCACCAACAAGAAATAAAACTAAACTACCGAACAGACGATGTAAGCAAATGCAAAGTCTTTGGATCAGGACGAATCCAAACATCAGAAAGACATGTCTATTTTGATTAGTTTATATTCACTATGTATTTTAGAAGGCAATATAGTTCCCAGAGCTTACAAAACCAGTCATCATGGATTGTCCCAGCCAAGTTGATTTGTTTAAGGTTGGTTTAGTTTCAAGTCAAATGGTTATTGGCTAAACGGTTTCACATTGCTCAAACATTCACAGCTCTATTATCTAAGCATTCAAACAAAAACATTCTACAACATATGCATAAAAGACCATAAATTTCAACTGAAAGAAACCAATGAAACCTCTTCTACTTACCGGAAACAAGATGCCTATTGCTTTTTCCGTCTAAATAACAATTGCAAGTTCTCTCCGAAGACCCTTCAATGACGCATTTGCCGCACCGATCGCCGCCTTCAGAATGCACGTAATCCTTCAAATCACCAAGCACATCAGCACCAATAACGCCATTCGGCAAACGCGATTTTCGACCGTCAGATTTCGAATTGGGCTGCAAATTCTTAACCTTTTTAGCCCTTCCTTTGACGAGCTGCCTCAAATTGAAAACCCTAACTCCCCATTCCTCGCCCAGGATCAAGACTCCGAAAGAAAGAGTAATCGAGAACACCGGCTTCGAACACTCGATCACTGCGCACCTCATCAATTTCACGACCTCGTCGTCCACCAATTTCACCGCGAAAATCCAAGCCTTGGAGCCGGAGACCGAGTACATGGCGAAGAAATTGACCGATCCAGCGAGCTTGACCGAAACGCCATGGACGGAATCAACCAAAACCCCAAATCTCTCCACAAATTGGAAGTCTTTCTGATTGCAGACGACTCGAGCCTTATGGAAAAGCTTCTTCCCTTGCAGAATATAGAACCGGAGGAGGATGCGGGACCCGCCGGCGTGGGGACCGGAGGCGACGAACAGGGGGCGGGGCTCGGCGGAATTAGGGTTTTGCAGGAGGACGAATGTAGAGGAAGAACATGGTGCGGGGACGGTGGTCTGTGGGGGAGGGAGGGAGGAGGATATGCGGAGAGGAGAGAGAGAGGGGTAGAGAGAGAAAGAGGAGTCGGAGTGCATAAGGGCTAGAGAGAGAGAGGTGGGCTCGAAGAGGAGAGAGGTTATGTGAGGGGAAGAGAGAGAAGGGTTTGGGAGGTTGAGCTTCGAGGCCTGAACAACAACCATTAGAGACAGGAACACCCACGACGCCCACCGCCGTCGCTACCGCCACCACCGTCGCCGCCGCCGGCTGAGATTTGGTTTGTTTCTTTTGGTTTCAGCAGCGTAGACATTGATGGTTTTGGAGACCATGGTTGAGGAACATGATCAATATTTTATTTATTTATTTATTTATTTATGTTTTGGAGATCCAAAAGGTTAATTTAAAATTCAAGCAAAATCAACTTACGTCTTTTTTGTTTATATATATATATATATATATATTTAGTATAATAAGAACAATTTTAATACTATTTTTATACCAATTTTAATTTGTGCCATTTTTTGTTATTAAATGAAATCTTTTATGTTTTATTATTAACTATGTGAGGAAGAAACGGTCATATATATAATAATAAAATTGTTAAAAAATCTAACTTAAAAATTGTTAAAAAAACTAGTATTATTAAGGGATGTGAGGGAGAAACGGAGGCATCTATTAATAAAATTGTTGAAAAAAATCCAACTTAAAATTGTTAAAAAAACTAGTATTTGTTGAAATATAACAAAACAAATTATAATATATTATCTAATAATAAAAGTTTGTCATTTTAATTTGATTTTGTGAACATGTCATGCAGTGCAATTTTTACTTGTGGTGTGGTGTATAGCATTAGTATGCTACTCCTGGATTATAAAATTGAAAGCCTTATGCCCGTACTATTTATATTATCTAATAATAAAAGTTTGTCATTTTAATTTGATTTTGTGAACATGTCATGCAGTGCAATTTTTACTTGTGGTGTGGTGTATAGCATTAGTATGCTACTCCTGTTTGTTTTTTATTTCTTTGTAATGAGTTTCAAAGGATACATTTACTTTTATTTGTTAATTTATTTACTCGTGACTAGCGGATTTTTGGATATATTTTCGACAAATGGATATCGAAGAGGTCGTGAGTTTTATAAACATTTTAGAGGGACAGATAGTCGCTTTGTCAAAAAATTTATTTTTCCTTCTTTTCTTTTTTCTGCCAATTGGGTGTTTTCGTGTTAGGAAATCTTCACGGTGGATCAGGCTCTTTTAAAATTTTACTCCACCAGCGCGGCATTTATGGCTTTTGTTTGCACATTTTATCGGTTTGGGACAAGGAATCATCATACACTTAATACACCAGCATACACCATAGCCTTTCTTTAAAAAATGCTTTTTTACCTGTCTGTGTGGGGTGGGATCCACTAGAATAAAAAAATGAGAGTGTTTATTTCACAATTCAAATTGAGTTGTATTTTTGAGAAAAAAACACTAATAAAAAAGGAAAATTTAAATTTTTATAAAAGTAAATACTATTAGAGTCCTTTTGAATTGGCCTAAAAAAAGTTATTTTTAACTTATTTAATCTAAAAGTCACTTTTAAATTTGTTTGGATGAAAAATCTTAAAGTATTTTTAACTTTTTTAAGCACATTTAGAATAAATCATCTCCTTAGTACTTATCAAAAAAGTGCTTATAACAAGTTTTTTTATTTACATTTTTAACTTTTTTATTTGTGAACAACAAATTAAATATCTCATTCATATCTTTTTATTACATTAATTTTTATAATAAGTGTTTTTGACTATTATTCAAACAAGTTTAAAAGTTCTTTTTAAATATAAAAATATTTTTTCAAGCACTATTTATATACTAATAAAAAAATTTAAACTTATGCTTATTTTTTTTACTATTTAAAAGCATAAACATAAACATAAATTATCCTAAACGGACCTTAAAATAGAATTTGAGTTGTGCTTTGAGTTGTAAATAAACTGAGGCTTTTCTCTCTTCCACGAAGACAAAGCAAGGTTGCTAGAAGCAAACTCAAGTTTCGTTTACTTTGCAGATTTGAGTTTTCAATTCGAGCTGAGATGTGACAATTTATGAGAGCTTTTTATTGTGGCAAAAAAAAAATTAGATGAGACATTTTTTAAGAGCTTTTTACTGTAAAAACATAAAATTAAAAATTTAAATTGGTGAAATGAACGAGACCTCAATGTGCAATTATGGTTAAAACCTCACCCAATCTTGAGGTGGTATTTAGTTGAAGCTTCTGTCACCAAACCATGTCAAAAGCTTCAGTTGTCAGATGTTGCCGGAAGCCTCCGTCACCGGTGTCAACGGAAGCCGCTTTCACTTCGTTGTCAGACCTCACCAAATGCTAACTATTGTCCTTCCATTACTGAAAGAGGAAAATTATTCCTCTTCATAGTCAGCTTCCGCGACGATCTCGTCATGGACACCGAAGTGATCTCTACTCGATGTGTGATCTCCTTAATGTGCATAGAGTTGCCATTACCTAAAACATTCAATTCCTTACTTCTCAATCGCATTCCTTGTTTTTAAGCTTTAATTTTTAGGTAATCTTAATAAATATCTATTTAAAGTACATGAATCATAATTTTTATCCTTTATTCTTGATTTATAATATTTTTAGTCAAATAATTATATAACAAAAAGTATTTATCATGAGTAAGGGGTAAAGGTCTAGACTCATACACTCTTAGAGGTAAATTCTGTTGGTTTCTAAAATGATTTCATATGCAAAAACGTGTGATTAGCGAATCGTGTATAACAAAAATTTTCGTATAAAACTTTAATATATCATATAGATTACATTAATTTATACACGAATAAATTAATCAAATTTATTTATTTACTTAGTGACCGATTAAGATGATATGTTAAATTTTTTGACATCGAATGTTTCTCGCTCCAAGCTAGTTTAGAACACCCGAATCTTCCTCGTCAATTTCTTGAATCTATGAGGACGTGTGTGTGGACACACTTGAAACAAAATGGGATTAACGAATAAACACTCAAGATTTCTACGAATACCAAAACATGCACGACGTGTAATTTTTGAAGAAAAAATTTCCTTCCCACGCTCTATAAAAAATTCGGCCACTATGCTACTAGGAGAGAGCAATTTATACAAGTTCTTATTTTATAGAGTAGTAGTCACACTCTCAGAAAAAGTCTAATATTTATCTCTAAGATAAAACTTGTTAATTATCTCTCATTCTACCAAACATGGATAATAGATCAATAATGAGCCCGTTTAGTTTACTGATTCAAGTTAAAATGTAACTTTATGTGATAATTTTTTACTATAATAAAAAAGTTAGATGTGACTGTTTTTGAAAATTTTTTATTGTAGTACAACTTAAATTCTAAATTCAAATCAATAAAATAAACGGGGCAATATAATCCACTTGTCTAGAAAGACTTTTGTGCTCATCACTTGCCTAGAAACACTTGCAATGTGTGGTGAACGCAAAATAATTTATGCCCATTGGCTGTCGGACATTGGCACCACTTCCATGAGAAGACCACTGAGAGATTTTGGTATCAGACTCAGCGGACACCAACCAAAATTCACCAAACCAACGAACAAGCACAAAACGACAATGAATTATCAAAGAAAAACAGAAGCACAAAACGACAATGTAAGCACACACATAAATAAAATAGTGTCACCTCTATCAACATCAGCCATTCATATTGGATAATTACAATCCACTACAACATTACTTGGACAAAACGAAAACACTAACCATAACTCCAAAAAAAAAAAAAAAAAGGGCCCACATAAAAAGTTTATAAAAAGCCAGCCATCATATATTATTTATTGCATCACCGTGAGAAAAGAAACGGATGGCATTATCACAAAGTCACCACCGTTGATCTAGTCGGTGTAATTAGCGATGGTGGCGTGGGCCTCGCAGGACTTGGCGGATGGGCTGGGCTCAACAGATGGGCTGGGCTCCACAGGCTTGACGAGGAGCTCCTTGGGTAAGTCCTTAATGCCCTTAAGGTAGAAGGTGTAAAAGAGCTTGAAGGGGAAAATGATCTGCTGCAGCTTCACCTGGCCGTACACCCCCTCGAAGATTCCAGAGCCACCAGTCACGGCGAGATACGTGTCCTCGTAGGTCAAGTACGATCCCTGCACCGATATGTGACCATAGTCTCCGAAGTAAAAGCTGTAGATGGCCTCGTACCGGTCACCTTTCGTTTCCGGTTTGTTCTGGATCAGAACGCATATTCCCGCCGTTATGCCTATCCGTTTTTGCAGGTCTCCGGTATACAGCTACAATCACAAGAATAAATAAATAAATAAATAAACGAAATGTTACTAAGAACAGGTTAAAAAAAAATGTGGTTTTCTTTCGAGATGATGACTGACATGGGCAATATTTTCCCGAGAAAGTAAAGGCTCTTTAACTTAATATTTATAGTCAAGTGGCAAAATGCTTGATTCTTTCTTTTTATTTTATTTTTGAGAAAAATTAGAAAAATTACAGTAAATTAAAAAAGGGAAAAAGAATAATTGACTTACTTTGTTGCTAAAAGGGACGAGATCTCCAAGAGAATTAACAGATTTCTGGCTCAATCGGAGGTACGCAGGACTTCCACGATCACGCTCGTTGATTTCATACACATAAAGCTCTTGAACTTTTGCTGAAACACCAAAAATTCAAAAAAAAAAAAAAAGAACAAACACATAAGTTGAAGAAATAATAACTCCAAATTAATTAAAATGTAACAAATAAATTTGTGGAGGCGCAAAAGAAGAAAGAAATAATTACTGGGTGGCCTTTCGGAATCTGATGGAGTAGTACTGGCCAGCTGGGATTTGCAAGAGAAGGATCGTTTGGGAAATGATGAAAGAGAATATGGGTTTGAGATCTTGAAATTAGGTTTGAGAGTTTTCGTAGTTGGTGAAGAAATTAGGGATTTTCTTGGAATGTAAAGTTTGACAGGGGAAAAGGATGTCAGAGCTCTCATAGCAGAGGCCGAGGAAGCCATTGGTGAATAAAAATAGTGTTTGGTAAGCGAGAAAGTTGTGGGGAAATTGAGAGTGGAAGTGGAAGTGTAAGGCGAAATGAGTTTGTTTATAAAGACTGGGGAAGAGAGAAGATCTTTAGACAATAGTCTATAGAGTTGAAAATCATGTCTTTAAAAAAAAGAAAAGGAAAATCACGTGGTGTTCTTTTTTTCTTTTCTTTTAGGTGGACGGCGATGCGTTAAAAAATAGGATTTGTTTCAAGTTTTTAATTTAAATTAAAATATAATTTTATATAAATTTTTTTTATTATAATAAAAAAATTAAATGTGATTATTTTTAAATTTTTTTATTGTAATAAAATTAAAAAAATTTAAATAAACACGTGTAAAGTAGTACGTTTGAAAATTTATTTGGGTCAATGACTACGTATTCGTATGGGGAAAATTGGGAACGTTCCAACTTCCGTAACGCTTTGGGATTTTTTCTATATGTTTGAAAGCCGAAATCTTTCGTATTAATTGTAAACGTGTTTCGGGGTTCCGACTTTGGACGGAATTTTTTTTTTGATAATTTGGACGGAATTTTTGGTTTTGTGCTTTCATGTATTAAGGGGAAAAAAAAGGGATATGTTATCGCACCTTTTTTTTTTTTCAAGGTTTTGTAGTTGCAATGCTAAGGTGTCTCTGCCTCGGTAAAAAAAAAAAAAAAAAATTTAAAAGAGAGTACTTTGGAATGATTTATGTTTTAAAGGCTACTTACAATCACATCAAAATAAGAAAATTATCAAAATCAATAAAATATTACATAGATATGAGGGTCCACGATAGAACCCTATTTCATATTACCCAATCAAAAAAAATTTGCGAGAAATTTCGTAGAACTTTTTTGTTTAGGAATTCGAGTCTAAACAATTGTGGATTGAGATTTTTTTTGTTGGAAGTATGGGCGGTGTAGGTATCTCTTATTACCCAATTGGGGGAGAAAAATGATTCCCTCAAGTGTGAGAAAAAGTTGCCAAAGATAGTTCTTTGCAAAGAGCGGAACTAGCTGGTTGCTACTTTATATATGATGAGAAGAGTGTTGTCGTGTTGTGAAACCTCATTCAGGCAGACTTTGTTGAGATCGCTTAAGTCGACGCATATTTTTCAGTTCCCGTTGGGTTTGATCACTAGAACGGGGTTTGATACCTAATGTGGGTAATGGACCTCCCTGATGAACTTATTATTGATCAGCTTGTCGACCTCTTCTTTCAGCGCTTCATACCTCTCGGGGTTCATCGGTCGACGTTTCTAGCACTTGGGCGGTTATGAGGGGTCAACGTTTAGAGAGTGACATATTACCTCGGCGTCGATCCCTTCCATGTCGGAATGATTCCAGGCGAAGACATCTAAGTTCTTCCTGAGGAAGTTTTCGATCTCAACCTTAAGTGATGAGACTAAGCCCGAGCCCATTTTTAGCACTTTAGTGGACTCGTCTTCATCAACTTGGATTTTCACCAACTGCACGACGGGTTGAGACCATGTGACTTCCTCTTGGATCCTGGGGTCTATGTCCTCGACGAGGCTCTGGTGAACCATCCTTGCCTCCTGTCTTCCTGGCTGGTCATATCCGCGCAGGGCGTCAGAGTATGCAACCCTAGCTTCATACTGGTTGCTCTTCATTTCGCCCACGCCATTTAGGGTAGGGAACTTGACATTTTGGTGGTAAACGGAAGTTATGGCCCTTAGCGCCTGAAGGGTTGGTCTTCCAATCACGGCGTTGTATTGGGAGCCTCCTTTTATAACCACAAAGTTGGCCATTGTGGTAGCCTGTCGGGGTTTTTCTCCGGCGATTATAGGTAACCGGATGGTCCCCTGGGGGGTGACGGAGTCCTCAGTTAAACCATATAGCGGCCTGGAGGTTTTTTCCAATTGTTCCTTTTAGATCCCCATTTTCTCCAAGCAATCGGAGTATAGGAGGTCCATCGAGCTCCCATTGTCTACCAGGATTCTGCACACGGTGTGGTTTCCTATCATGGCTTCCACCACCAAGGCATCGTTGTGGGGGAAATGAACCCCACTGGCGTCATCCTCGTTAAAGGCCACGTCGGTGTGACCGTACCTTGGGGTTTTTGCAGCGGAGACGCTCCAGAATCGCTCCTGATAAACCCCCCGGCCTCGTGGGTGTAGTCCTTCTGAGACCTTCTTGAGTCTCCTCCTATATAAGGACTGCCGAGGACAGTCCGTATGACACCGACGGATTCGCGATCCTCTGGGCGTTGGTTCTCCTCTCGGCGTCGACCGTCATTTTGCCCACCATGGTCGTCATTTCGAGGTCTCCGTTCGGCCCTGAACTCTTGTAACCTTTCTTCGCGGATTACTCTTTCGATTTCATCCTTGAGGTCGGCGCAATCGTTGGTGTGGTGGCCGACATCGCCGTGGAACCTACAGAATTTCTTCTGGTTCCTTCGGCTGGGATCTGACTTCATCGGTTCCGATCGGCGCAGCAAGTTCCCGCAGCCGACCTGATTGAAGACCTCCTCGACTCCTATCGTTAGCTCATGGTAGGAATCATATTTTTGGAACAGTCGAGGCTTACGGGTATCCTCTTGCCTCGGCTTATGAAGCGCTCGTCGTCACGGCGGGCTGCTTGTCTCCGTTTCCTCCACCTCGACGCTTCTTTCCATCCTGTTTCACAGGCGTCGACCCTTGTTTGGTTCCTTTATTCTTGTTGGACCTGTGCTCGGGGTCGTTTGCGTCCGCCTCTTCGGTGTTGATGTACCCCTGCGCTCGCGCCAAAAACTCCCTGTAGCTGGACGGAGGTTTTAGGTTCAGCTCTCTTTTGAATGGGGTAATTTTCTTCATGCTAGATAAGGCCCCCATCAAGGCCTCTCTATCTGTTATATCCATCGTGGCGGCAACAGCTTCCCCATATCTCGCGAGCCATTCCCTTAGTAACTCGTTCGGCTTTTGGTATATCGTCATCAGATTCTGCTTTGGGGGGACATACTTTTTGACCCCTATGAATTGGAGGGAAAACGCTTCTTTTAACTCGTCCCAGCTCGAGATAAAGTTTGGCCTCAGCGTCCGGAACCATCTTCGGGCAGAATCCGTCAAATGGTTTCGAAAGGCCCGGCACATGATCTCCTCGGCATAACCGTGCAAGAGCATGTGCTCTGTGTACATCTCCAAATGGTCGTCGGGATCTCCTCGCCCATCATACGGTGGGATTGACGGCGACCTGTATTTATCGGGGAGAGGGGGCGCCATTATTTCTTCGGTAAATGGATGGTCATGTGTGCGGCTGGGCGTGATATCGACGTTTGCCACCTCAGCCACACGACCTATATTCTTTTTTAGGCCCACCACGTCCCCCGTCAGTTTTTGCTCTAGGCTGGCCATACGTTCCATGATGGCGCGTGATTCTTCTGTCGAAATGGCCGAGCCGGCTACTCTCGACGCTTCTGCCCTCTAAGTGTTGGGTCTGCCTCTGTTGTGAAAAATCGTAACGCAAGTATACGCTATTGCAATCAAGTAATATAATAGTAAATAAGAATATCGTCCCACGAGGATTGTTGTTTACTAATTACCGAAATTATATTAACCCTAATTTTATTTGAATACTTGAAAAGAGAGTTTATAAAATTAAGTAAAGTAAAACTAAAACAATTAAATAAATTAAACAATGCTAAGCAACGGATGAAAATTCAATAGATTAAGATTCTAGGGTTTCCGATTTCACCAAATTAATCATGTTCAAATTCTCATAATTCAAGAAAATTAACATTCAATCCTATACTGACAGCAATTTCTCTAAAGCAATTATTATTCTTTCTCAAGCAACAATAATATTAATCCAACAAGCAAAATCTACATCTCTGTCAGACTTCTAAACCTGTTGAAAATCATTAAGTG